GCACCAAGCCTTGCCATTTCATTCATGTCTAAGGTGGAAGCGCCAGTAATCGACCTCGGTCCGTTACTCTACTGTAGATATATAGATGACTGTTTGGTCATTTGTTCAACGCAAGAAGAAATCAACAGATGTTTCGGTTACATTACAAGGTGGTATCGAAAGCCAAGTAGTAAAAACAACCTGGTTCACTACCTCTCCTCTCACCCCTCACACGAAAAGGGCGCTTGTGAGAAACATGCATCGAACAGCTACCAGCGTGTGTACAGTAAGACAGCAGAGAGAGGAGTCCCTGAACTTGGCGCGACAAATAGCCATTTTCGATGGCTACGAAACTGTAGCTCCAGATAGGTGTAGAGGAAACCACAGGTTCCACAACGAAAACTCTAGCGACAACAAGGTCCCGTTTATACTGCCCTTCATTTTAAATGAAGTAAGTGCAGCTATAAAACGCTGTTTAAGAAGGACCAGTCTAGAGAATTCGGTAACGATAATCGAAATACCACCGAGTAATCTAAGGCGCCAGCTAGTTCGTAACCGGCTATACGACCGTCTATGTGCAACGCAAAATTGCATAATTTGCCTCAATGGTAGAGACGGTGACTGCATGAGATCGGGTACAGTCTATCTGATCTCTTGTAAAGCATGCTGGGACGAATACATTGGCGAAACGTGTAGACCACTCTGCGTACGTATAAAAGAACACCTAGTCGGCAAACGTAAGCCAAATACTCCACTAGGCACGCATAGGACGCAGAGGCATAACGGAGAAGATTTTGAAGTAAGGGTTACGATTCTCGCGCAAGAATCGAGAACACAAGCACTCGAAACTCCAGAGGTAATCTGGATTAATTCCAAGAATCCAAAAATGAACCGCAGGGAGGAATGCCTCGTTATCACGCGTGATATTGGACAGTATATAAACCTGTTATTCTGGTGGGGTGGAGACACATTACACTTCCATGTGAATTCTGTGTGGTTGTTCTTCACACGACATACTCAGTGGGAAGACTCATAGAAAGCGGTGTGTGCAGAGCTGTGTTAAATGTGATTGAAATCTTGGTTTAGCGTTTTCTCTATTTGGTTGTGGAGGTGTTTGGCCGAACAGGTTGCTGTCAACCTGACCTTTCCAGGCTCTGAGGAAAGCGAAAACCGCCGAAACGCCACCTTGTACGTAAATAAAGAAATAAAATAGAACCTCGTGTTTGCTGAACAGAAGTAGAAAGAATTATTCAATCAATGCCGAGTTTAATAGAAAGTCGGACTTGGGAGTTACTAAAGTCGTTGAATTCATTTTTAATGGCACTGGTCCTTTGATAACTGGTGATGAATTACTGACCACTAAAAGAGTTGGGACTGGGAAATACATGCTGCGGAAATGATTCGGTACAGTACGACCTCCTAGAAGAATTGAGGAATTGAAGTTCCACAAACACACAAAATGCCTTTGCTCTATCATTTCCAGACTATGTGTTTCACAAGCAAAATGCCCCGTATTCATTTCCTTGAATACATACTCATTACAAAAAAGTGCCAATTCAACCCCCAACGAATAAAAAATATGAGCAAAAACCAAAAACAATAAGCTTCATAGCACACTACTACTATTTAGTCGTTGACGAATAGGAAATCTTGTGCTTTCCTGACAGAGACATGTAGGTTCTAACAATTTTCAGCGCAGTTAATAAAGGTCGCTATAGGCTGAGATATGGTGGCTTAAATTCGAGACTGAGTATTATTTTTGAAACCAATGCATGCGATCGCGAATGTGTTGACTACTAACCTTCTCCTTCCTATCTAGTTGCGTGTTGCTGAGAATATTTGGTGGCACGGGTGGAGGAAGAATCTAAAAAGAAAAAAGGAATGGAAGTGTCCGTTGCCGCTGGGTTGGTGTGTCTCATGTGCGGTGTTTCAAAAGTGTTTTTAAGCAAGAGGTAGCTAAAGGACGATGGAAACAGGAAAAAATTTACATGAACTTGAGGGGCAGTTATCGACGTCTGTTGAGGTAACGAAAGAGGGGAGAGCGTCCGAGGATCAACAAGTATGGAACTACTTGGCTCATCGGCAGTAACCAACCTGAAAATTAAAGATCTCAGCAGTAAAACCACATTCCCAAGACTACATCCTCTTGATACTCTAGTTTAACAAAGACAAGCTGTTATATTATTTCCTTATCTACGCATATGCTGACGATTCGCCGAATTTCGCCTTCCTCAGAGTCTGGAAAGCTGTAAACATCAGCTCGTGCGTAAATAAAGAAGTAATATAACACCTCTTGTTTGCTAAAAAAGAATATAAAGAATTGTTCGATCAATGCCGAGGTTAACAGACAGTCGATCATGGCAGTTACAACCTCATGATTTTTTTATTTCATTCAACAAAGAAAAAACAAAACAGAATCAGTTTCCTAACAGCAGCTCACGTTCTCTGGGAAGGTACTAAAAATACTGTGGTTGCTAATTTAGTGGTTATCAACACTGGTTTCATGACTTATAATAACAATAACTGAAAAGCCCACTTTGACGACAAACTGGGATTCTCATCCCGAATTGGAGCCAGCGTAAATGAAACAGGAACGGAAGGAAATGGTCGTTGAAGAGCGGTAACACCAGTACTAGTGGAGCAACTATCCTCTGATACAACCTCTTCCGCTGATGGATTGCCAGCTAGCGTCGCAGACAACAGTGCAGGGGAAGAGCTTGTTTTTGGAATCTCAAAATATGAAAGTGATCATAGCAGAAAAAACACTGAAATATGATACAAGAAGTGCAAGAGACTGAAAACAAATTCAGTTCCCTCTCATAAGTAACTGACTTACAGCAAGCATATCCGTTAGAGAAATCGTAGCAACAGGATCAACTATACCAATGGGCTGAGAAGTAGCAACTTGAAATCCGTCTTGAAGTCGCCGCCTCTGCTTTCTATTCAACACAGGGACGGCCAACTCTAAAATAATTTCGACTAGTACTAACACAAAACTGGTCAAAGTTTGATGTAGAGAAAGTAAGCAACACAAAATAAAATTGCCTTGCTCGCATGTCAATGTCGAAGATGTTCCTGGTACAGATGAATCATCCACAAGTCCATCAATACTCAGATTCTCGACAACTGGTGTAGCTCCAGTTTCTGTTTCACCAACATCGGACTGCAAAGGATTAGAATAAGTGCTATCACTTGGGTGATGAAAAATACGATTACCTTCTGTGGTTCTTCATTCGCTTTTTGAGCAAGTTCCCACTGCACCATTCGAACACGATGTTGATAGTAAGAAAAATGAGGATTAGTGGGATGCATAAAGTTTAATTGGAGATCAGCACGCTCTAAACCAAACAATTGGGGTAAAATTAAACATCTTAACATTTTAAAATTACACCTCTTAAATCTAGTTCTGCCTCAACGCCATGACGAGCTACAAATTCTGCATAGCTTGAAATTACGGGCTGGAGGTCTGGCGGTGGTGGAACCATTGGCTGAGGACTTGAATACGGACATGGTGAACCATAAAATGACAACCACCATGCTCTATACTCTTCGTCTGGTGGAGGTGGAGCAGAGCTAAACTGTCAGAAAAAGCGTCTAGATTCCACAAAATTACCTAACCTTTTTGATCTATATAACTACTAACTGATATAAAAAAGTAGAGCAACCATGCCTATAGAACTCACGCCATGATATGTTTTTGTATTTCCAACTTTTCTTTCTGCCTCTTTTCAGCCTCTTCACGTTCAACGGACACTTGGCTCAGACTTTTAAAAAGTGATGCATAGATGTCGTTACTCTTTAAAAAAAAAATATTCGCTAAAGTATGGATGACGACAGAACAAATTCAAGGAAAGGACATATTTTACCTTGTTCATATCATAGTCATGCCGATGCGCTGTAACCGGAGGTGGAGAAGGGGAAGCGGGACGACGTCTTGGACCCGCCGCATTTTCTGCAGAATCCATAACATCAGGACTACGACCTCGCTTTTGCAATCCAGATAGGAGGGAAGGGTGTAGCTCGCAATCCGAGTCAGAATCACTGTCACTACCACGCTCTACAAACACTTGTGCACTTATGGATTTTAATCTATGTGTTTATAGGAGAGATATACCTTACCTTATAGCATACAGGTTCAACGTAACAATAATTAGAGATATGAAAGCCACATTATTTGTGAATTCCACTTCTCCCATAATATAATAAGACTTCAAAATTACCATTTGCTAGCGCCATCAGAGCGTTCGACTTGCTCTCTTTCGCACTGCTTCCAGCTCCTGTAGTTGAATCCTCTGTTTGCTCACGCTGTGGTGCACGTTTGGCACCTTTGGACAAATCGGGAGTGTATTTCTTCTCACGGATCAGTTTCGATAAGTACTTGTAGTATGGATGTAATACATTATCGAATTCAAGGAAGCCAAACTGCAACATGTATTTTTGGAAATGCCAAAACAACATGCCCTAGAAAATTTTTTACAGAGAGTAGTTAAAAAATTCAATTTCCCCGTAGAACCTACCTGTTCAGTATTGTTCCGCTGTTTAGCCTTGATAACAATTTCCATTTGAGGACCCTTCGTCACTACGAATAGAGCGGTCCGTTCGATAATGTGGTTTTGTTTTTGATTATCAGGCTGCAAAACAGATCTTGAAGACTTTCTCATGCCTCTTTTGGACTTTGAATTCATTTCTTCTGAACCATGGACAATCACTTACAACAGCTAATCCTAATGGAAGTTTTATACCAGGGGGAGGTTCGAACGCTTCTGCCTCACTATCACTGCCATCACTTTCTAGATCCGCAGTGCCTCCATTTGTTTTAGAGTTATTATTTTTGTAGTCAAAACCGATTTCCGCCTTTTTAGGGCGCGTCTCTTCATCATCTTCTGAACAAAGCTATTAAAATAAACAAAAAATTTGTTCCATGCCCAATCAATAAAGAAATAGTCCAATATTATACTAGTTTTTGTCCCAACCAAACAGTTTTAGCCAATGAATCTTGGTGAAGTTTCGTAGCAAAATGCTCCTAAGTGCAGCTCATAAAGTTCGAATTGACCTTCATTTTATATTGGACTAATTTCTATTGGCGAATGCACAATGAAGACAGAACAGATTTAGATAACACCACCGACCAATGGTAAAGTTAGGAGTGTAAAGTGAGCAATATGAGGCAAACTATTTCTCACGGATCTGGTGAGTGTCAAGGAGCATGTCTCGGTAACGCTCCTCATCGCACATTTCCTCTTCCAGATCTTCGGTAGGACATGATGCTTCGACTGTGGATGGAGCAGAGACATCGTAATCCACCGGCAAGAGCAAACGGCAGTCGTACCTGAAGCGATGTCAAAATATAGCAAGAGCAAACAAAAGGCATAAAACATGACATTAATGCTAAGAACAAGAACGAAAGTTTTAAATCTCCTGTTTGACTGCTCGAGTCGAACTTACGCTAAGGTGTCATCACCTCTATCATTGAAGTGTAATCATTGCCGCGCTCACCAGACCTATAATGAGAATTGTTGGGACAGACATTATTGAACATTGAAAAGAACTAATAGAAGTGGTACGAAACAGGACACAAATCAGAATTCGTCGATGAGTTGAACGAAAAGCGACAAAAAACCAAATCGGAAAATAGAGCAAACCGACAATGCGCCATGCCGATGTCGCTGATCAACTTAATGGGTGTCAAGTTTTGCCAATCACTACGAGATGTGGCCATCAAATCCGCATTTGCTAACTTATTTGATGGGCAAACAAACATCAACTGACTCGCTTTGTTTACGTCATTCCTTCGAATCCACTACTTCCAAACGATATTATAATTTAACAGTAGAACAACTGCATTTAAAAAAGTAAGCAAAGCAGTACAATACATACCTTGTTTATCAGCGGTGGAAGTGCCCACTCCTCCTAAAAGCCTGAAAGGGAATTTCCGAGATTCGGTTGTGGGAGTAGCTCATTCGCCTCCCATGACGACACACCTGTCGATTCGTAAGGATGTATCGTTCGGAGAAACGATCAAGTGCTGCTCCTCAGCAATGAAGTCAGAGCGATCATCAGGAGAGTAGATTCGCGAAGCATATCCAAATACCAACAGATCTTCGTCCTGCTTCAAAGAAAACGTTGAGATGACGCACCGGTTACTTATTATGCAAGAAATTTCGATATTACACAGCAACAATTAAAAGGAGGAAACAAATATGCCGATGCAACTCACCGACGACATTCTTCCAGCGTAGTTGAACGCCTTCCAGAATGACTGTGCTGGTCCACGACTAAAGGAATCTCACTTGTTCCCTAGAAATGAGCTATTAATAGGCACAAAACCCTTTCATTTCCATGTAATAAGCACAGCACTACTAAGAAATGATACCGAAAAAGTTAAGTGTGCAGATAAAACTCGCCATTAGACCGTGCATCACTAAAGAGAAAGAGTGAATGCTCGTTTTATAAATAACATAAAAAATATAGCAATGGTTAGTTACCTAATAACCTTTGGAAGCATGCTACGACTAAAATCAATGATGAGGAAGAGAAATGATATAAGAAGGAAAGCTTCCCACTAAAGATATAAAGAAAACAAAGTTTGGCAACAAGCTGTGTCGAATGAACTAAGAGAAGCACAACTAAACCGTACGCCAATGACAGATAATGAAACAGATGAAGAAACAATACTGCGAATTCTGAAGATGCCAGACGACAACGGCTAAGCTTCAATGTATCCACGGATCAGTTTGCTCGAACTCAATCTTAACCGATATATCACAGTCAGATCTACCACTGCTTCAGTCCACGTACAGTTTCAAATCGCTTGACAAGAGAGGAAACAGCACCTTTCATAGGGCCTTTAAGGAGGACACTAAACCCACGAAACAAACAAGCCCTGCCCGCCACTCAAGAAACCAATGCCCAAGCACGAAATATGTGAGGATCCTGCCGAGAAGAGCGGGAGGCCGGACAGCAGGCGGTCGCGTCGCGGTTCATATAAAAGAGCGCGCTAGTCGCAACAGTTGTTGTACTAAAGCTGAAAGGATAGAGCTCTCGGCGTTTACCAATCAATCCCTGAGTGGTGCGGCATGCATTCGACTTCATTAAGCATTGCTGGAGGTGACTGAATGCATATATCTGGCCCTTAGAGTGACTGCCCGTACCCTACCGATGTGTTGAGTCAGTGCTGCTATCCTCCCAGACAAGGCTGGTACCAATTTGCCGGAGGGATGGAAGGCTTGGTGAGCCATGGGCGCTGCGATCGATTCCACGTCTGTGTCGTAGTGGCGCCAGATGCTCCCGTATTGTCAGTGGACTATACGCGACCTATTGTTGTACTACTGTAAAACCATCACTACCTTTTCGTACCGCAGGTAACACAGTGGTCGAAACTGCACATGGCCTTCATTCGAGCTCGCACGTGCCTAACCAACCCACCCCATGAGGAGAAATTAAGCGCTATCATTAATGAAATGGGGTGAGGGCTCAGAAATGAGGCCCCTTTTAAAAATTGTCTGTCAGAAATATTGGAACCAGCATCTGAAAATCCACAGATAAAGGCGAAGTTGGAAACAAGTGTTTAGAAAGGGGACAGAAACCGTCTTGCTAAGGACTGGTTCACAGAATCGGAGGGCAGGAAGTCGTTTCTGAACATGAGAATGGTACAACATGAAAACTAACTGTTCTATTACAAGTAGAAGATAGTGTACCTTCTTCACTTGCCGTTGTATCTTCCAGTGCTACGATGAGTACAGCAGACTTCGATCCAGACGAAAACAATACAAGCATTCATTAAAAAATCTTTCAAACCGCCATTCTGTTGATGACATGTTCTGGATGGACAGTTAGACATCACCAAATGATACATTGGCAAAACCTAAGACATAATCGCGAAGTTATTTTTTCCTCTTCAACTTCGACGAGTTGTCGCAGAATTGCAACTTGTCAAGATTTCTAAAAGTACGAAGAAGTTTCACATGAAAACTTTAAGCCTCTTCGTATTACTGTAACCAACCTGGCCGACTGTGCAATTTCAACGTTTGGGGGACGAACGCGGACTTGACTAATGCCTACTCAAATTACCCATGTTTGATAACGAGAGGAGGGGTTGTCAACATGACTGGATTGTAGAGGAGACTTTGAACTAACGCTCTATAGATATGAATCGTATGTCTCATGCTATTTACTACACGTTACTATTGTCTATCACACAGACCTCTTGCTGTCAACATTTGAAAGGGTCTTGCAGCTTATGTTGAGTCTGCTCAGATATTGTTTGTACTCTAACATTCGATCCGATAATTGTCGCTCATTATTTTAAATTGGAATAACAATTATCTGTTAAATGACCGGTCAGGTCACTGAACTGATCCGATGGGAAGTCCTTTGTATCAGGTTGTTCAGAAATGAATGAGCGTTTTAAACTATATCATTTAAAATGTCACAACTTGCTCCTTCGAACAAAATTTTATACCAAAATAAAAGCCACTTGAATCTACGCATTTTTGCCGACGAGAAACAAGTTTACTTACTCGATTTGCATAAAATTCTAGAGATCTGGGAGCGACGGATTCGTTGAAGGCTTTTTTTGCGTTATCGTGGTTGGTGAAGCATTTTTCGCGCAGGAAGTTGTCAAGGTGCTTAAAGAAGTGACAGTCGATAGGCAAGAAGTCATGTGAATATGGCAGGTGTGGCAAAGTTTCGTGGCCTAATTTAACTTCGCGAAGAAGGATTAGTCCTTTTCTGCTAATGCCGGCCGTTGTTGTTGGAATTTATGACGTATTTCGTCGATTTGTTGGCAGTACTTCTCTGCCGTAATGGTTTTGCCCGGATTCAAAAAGCTGTGATGAATTAACCCTGCTGCAGACCACCAAACAGTCACCGTAACTCTTTTTTGGTTCAATTTCGGCTTTGGGAAATGTTGTGGAGCCCGATCACAATCCAACCATTGAGTTGAACATCGCCGGTTGCCGTACAGAATCCACTTCCCACGTCACAATTCGATAAAAAAAGGATCCTTTTTGTAGCTCAGAATAACAGCAGACGACACTTCCAAATGGCAACGTTCTCGATTATCGCTTAATTCGTGCAACACCCACTTGTCGAGTTTTTTTTGCCTTTCCTATGCGATTCAGGTAAGTGGAAGTTGTTCCTGTGCTTACGCCAAGTTGTTATGTAAGTCCTCGAACAGCTGTTCGCGTGTTTGCTTTCACTACTGCCTTCAATTCGTCGTCGTCAGGTTCATTGCGACGTCCGCGACCTTCCTTATCTTCGAGGTCGAAATTACCAGGTCAGAATTTCCGGATCCAAGTCGCATTGTTGATTCACCAACACTACCTTCTCTCCAAATCTCAATAATGTTTCGAGCCGTTTCTGCTGCACTACGACTGAGTTTGAAATCATAAAAGAAAATTTAACGAAGATTCATTTTTGATATATAAAATTTCAAAGCACAATTAGCATTGTGAGTTCAACTCAACTACAGCCTCAGCTTAATTGGGTTCAACGTTAAGCTGGGCTCCCCAGATCAATCCAATTGACGGATGATTGCTAATGGCACTGATCGATAGAACTAGCTGGGAGACAGGCGAAACGAAGGACTCGCATGGTGTGGTGGTGAACACGTGAGCCCCGGTAAGGATAATGGCTTGTTCGGTCTCCACCGCAGGCACCAGCGGTCTGGATTTTTGCAAATATCTCAGCAACATTATGCTTATAAAGTTAGTATTACAAAAACATAGAAAGATTGTAAAATCAGCTTTTTAACAATACATCAAAAAGTGCAAACAGTGTTTTACTAGTAAAAAATACGTCGAAACGATTAAAATTTTTAAAACGCCCATTTATTTCTGAACAACACAATATATATGTAAGTGCGAGATAGAACTACTCTCGACCGGCGCTCGCTACATCTGCACTGGATAAGTTATCGATTAGTTGTAAGGAGTCTAGAAAAAAGATTCCGTGCGCCAAAATGAACCGTCAAGAAGAGAATGAGCCATACAGAGCTCATGTCGGCTACTGGTAGTGCCACTTATGATTTTTTAGCATAGACCTGTTCGTTAAGTGTTAACGAGGTTACGAAAGCCTGATGTGGCCGTTAAAGAAATTGCCACCAAAAAACCAGACAAGAACTTTCTGTTTGCTCATAAAATTAGCAAGTCAAGGGTTACACAAATAAATTGGAACGGTTTTGAATTATTAGCAATACTATACAAAGCTTCAACTTCCAAGGTGAACAGCGCCCGCGTGCAAGAACAAATGCAGTGCATTGAACAGATTAGCAGGCTGGACGACAACACGATACCCACCATTTCCGAGCGCAAAGGGTATTGCGATAAATATAGGAGACCTTAAAAATCCTTCACAGGTTGTCTCGACTCTGCAGTAGTCGTTACAACAATACTTCAACCATATATTGTAGTTGATAGAATGCCTCTTGCTGAAGCGTCTACAATTAGTATCCACTTCTTGAACGTCATTGCAAACTATCTTATTTACTCCTGTTGCGAAAAATCCCCATGTTCCTGTTCCGTAGGGCGCGTGTGACCCAGTGGTCGGAGGCGCCCTACAACACACACGTGGAACCGATCCCGGTCCCCATGGCCCACCAAGCTTTCCATCCCTCCGGGGCGGAATATAGGTACCAGACTTGTCTGGTAGTATACCAGCACTGTCACGATATATTGGTGAGTCACCGCCAGTCATTGTAAAAGCCAGACATGCATTCAATCACCTCCAAACGATTCTTAATGAAGTCGAATGCATGGCGTATACCTCAGCGATCGATCGACGCCGGAAGCTTTATCCTTTATCCTTTGTCCTGTTTAGTGAAGTGACACTAAAAGACAATATTGCATTTACTTCTGATTATAATAGCTAAGACCATGTTGTCACAATATGCGCATCGTTAAAGCTAACTGAATCCACATATGACCTACGCAATGACTCAGGATGACCTGCCGATGTATCGAGTCTGTGCTGCTATTCTCCAATACATGTGCGCCTCTAATGTGCCGAACCCGGAGGAATGGAAGACAGCACCGCGCGCGTGATCGAACCTATATGTATTGCAGAGCGCCGCTTACCACTGCGCTATAGTGGCCATACATTTTCGCCTACATATGTACGTGCGTACATACAAATATATATGTATATATACATGTTTACATATATACATATATATGTATTTATATACAAAGACGTTTGACTCATGATAAGAATAAACTGTGACAGCACAACACATTTTTATTGAATAATTATTCATCGATTATAACTGAGAACCATGTTACTTATGGTTACGGGAAGGAGCTGCCATGATGGGTATGTCCCTCCTCTTCGCTCCGCTTTCGCCAACTTTTGGTGCTTCAACACACAGATGACCCTTGTCGGTGAGTTGCGTTCGAACAGCATCTACGTCAACATTTTCCGGGAGCAGCCATTTGCGAACAAATGACCTGAATGTAGGAACATTTCGCCTATGAAAAGAACTTATCCAAAAGTTGTGAGATATTTAAAGGTTAATAATAGAAAATAAAATAATGTCATACTCCGGAACAAAATAACCCTTTGTAAAGATACGACTCACCTATTCATGAAGCTATTCGCGCTCTTATGTTCCTGTTTGCCTTCGATGGTAAGCTCTCGTCCCTCCACGTGCACGTTCAGCTCTTCGGGACGGAACTGTGACACATCCAGGGATACGGCAAATTTCTTGTCATCATTAACCATCTGCGATCAATACTATGTATCTGGGAGTGCCCTATGTAGAAACAAACAGAACTGACATCACCTGCTGGGTCTCATTTGCCACATGCAAAACTGAATGATCGGCATCTCTCCAATATGGGAACATTCCCCTTTCGAAACGATCGACATCTCGTAATGTTTCCCTCATCAAATAGTCCATCGTTCTAGGAACTTGCCAGAGCTCCAATGTCATCGCTACTTCAAAACGCTGAGTCAGGAAAGGAAGCGACAAAGTGAGCAGTGACATAGAAGTATTGTAATCGCGAAATGACGGACCAACGACTTCCACTATGCAAAAAACTTTTCATGGCCCGGAACAAGTGCTGACGTTACGGCAAACGAAAGCCAGTAGTTCCTCACACGATTACTCCGATATAATAATGAGACAAATAATAACAGGCTAACAAACCAGAAGTTCACATTACTGCAACTCTTTGAAGAGAACCAGATGTAAACGTGGAATACCCAGATGTATTCGAAGACCTATCTACGTACTTACGAAAAGTCATTTGAAGAGGATGAAAACACGAAGTATGAAGTTGGGAGGAAAGCGCCGATTCATGTCGAAAGAGCTTCAACGTCTGACGGGCGTGTGCAGTGGAGTGCTGTTTGGCGTGCATTGAGGTTCCACCCACATGACGGCATTCCCTTTGCTGTTTTTGTAGGGAGTGCCCCTTCCAGATGGTTTTGGAGAGGCGCAGGGAACTAGCGCTTTAGAACACGCCGCATGTTTTCCAGTGCATGAAGTGTTCGACGTAAACAATCGGGGAGGCGATGTGATTGCAACCGTTGCCTTTGTCGAAATAAATGGCGAGNGCAACTCTTTGAAGAGAACCAGATGTAAACGTGGAATACCCAGATGTATTCGAAGACCTATCTACGTACTTACGAAAAGTCATTTGAAGAGGATGAAAACACGAAGTATGAAGCTGGGAGGAAAGCGCCGATTCATGTCGAAAGAGCTTCAACGTCTGCCCGGCGTGGACAAGAGTGCTGTTTGGTCTGCGTTGAAGTCCCACCCACTAGACGGCGTTCGCTTCGCTATTTTTGTAGAGAGTGCCCCTTCCAGATGGTTTTGGAGAGGCGCAGGGAACTAGCGCTTTAGAACACGCCGCATGTTTTCCAGTGCATGAAGTGTTCGACGTAAACAATCGGGGAGGCGATGTGATTGCAACCGTTGCCTTTGTCGAAATAAATGGCGAGTAGAGCCGATCTACAAGACGTGTTTCGAAATTCGTGTAGAACTACATAGGGTGGATGGACTATCGTGACGGGCCGAAATGAGTACATTGTTGCGACAGCATGTAGCGCAGTGATCGGAAGCCCCTTGCAACACACGCATGGAATCGATCTCCGCGCCCGTGGCGCACCAAGGCTTCCATCCCTCCGGGGTTGGCAAATTGGTACCAGACTTCTCTGGAAGGACAGTAGCACTGGTTCGATACATCGGTAGGCCACCGCAAGTCATTGTAAAGACCAGATATGCATTCAATCACCTCCAAACGATGCGTAGTGATTTCGAATGCATGGCGCATCCCTCAGGGATTGATCAACGCCGAGAGCTTTATACTTTGTCTTTTTATTACCAACTAAGTGTTGCTCCGCCTCAACTACACTGGTCCCAATTTAGTCCTTAAAGTATAGGCAATTGTAAGGCGGTACAAAGAAGTTCTCTTAAAATATAATTGGTCACCACTGTGTTTTCATATCCCGTGCAATTAAAGAATTATTCACGTCGGTGTGACCTCATAGAAGCCGCCTGTTTGTGAAGCGACTCTTCGTCTCCGGGTGGATTATTTGTGCTCTTTTCACCTCATTTCTATGTAGTTCGCTGTGCAAGAGTAGTTTTCCTTTGGACCTCGAGATAGCCGTGCTTTGGCGTTCCTGGGAATCCACCGTGGGCAATCGCCTTGTAGATGAGGAGTTTTACTGTCTTCCGTCTAGCCTTTGTCTTTTAAGATTCATATTGATACTCGGGATTAGTATCAGAGACGATTGCTTCTTTTCTTTAGGTTTTGTCACGCAGGACTTTTTGTAGACGCTGCAGTTCCTAATCCCAGGCCTTGGTAATTGAACTGCCTATTTATGCAATAGCAATGAAGTTAGATTTGTGTATAGAGTAAATTACAAAGTGAAAAATATTTCAATGGACAGGAGTAGTACACATAAGGAATTGTACTAACAATGATGCAGAGTATTACGAAATAGGTTTACGAGGGCATGAAAACGTAAATATAAATGCTGTTTATGTAACAATATTAGTACAACTGCAACAGCCTAAGTATTTACGAAATCATTGTGCGGGAATGTCATAACGATGAAGAGGTTGCTAGGACAACGAAGAGGAGGATTCTACTGAGTGGCAATCATTAAACCGGACAATCTTCACGTCATTCCAACGGTCTACCAACCTTATTGTGGCTGGGAAATGTTATTGGGTATCGGACTGCGATGTATAACGGAGAGTTCATCACCTAGGCAGATTTCCAAGCTGGGAAGTAATCCGACGTTTCAATCCGTAAACCCAGCCAGGAGCAGACGAATACCAGAAATCACCATTATCCGGTATCAAACTAGCAGCACGGTGGCAGATCTCCATCTGATCCACAACGACGACGCCAGGGATGATGACCAACTGAACGAGGTTTCGGCTGAACTGACCTCGGGACTCCAGCGAACCACAATGGATAAACTACCAAATGTAAATCATGCTGGGGACAGCACAACCAGTGAAAATATGTCATCCAAGTATCCAAGTAGTTCTCACATCACACAAATTCATCAAAGGCTATCGATGAATTTTCACGCAGCGGAATTTGACTAAGGAGTTAGTACGACAACCATGACTTTAGTGTAGTACCTATAGAGAATGCAAGTGTTTAAGACAGCAGCTGAATTATCAACGCGCAGTGATTATTTGAAGATTGGCAATAATTTTATTACGTCTTTAGTGCAAGAGCGTCAGATTTTGGTTGACATTATTCCAGCCTAAGTAAACTGAAGGGCAACCGAGCGAAGAAGAGCTAGCGGGAGATCAAGGGTCCCTCGTTTCGCATGTCTTTCAGCTAGTTCTATCGATCTTTTTCCATCAGAAATCACCCGTCAATGGGACTGATCTGGGGAGCCCAAATCGGCATTGAACTCAGTCAAGCTAGGCTGTAGTTATAACCAAAAACGAAGGACCCGCATGGTGTGGTGGTGAACGCGTTACTCCCCGGAAAGGACAATAGCGCGTTCGTTCCCCACCGCGGACACCTGCGGTCCGGAGTTTTGCAAATATCTCAGCATCATTGTGGTTGTTTCACAAATAATACCCTGCTTTCTTGTAAAACTTGTGAAAGGCAGTAAGAAAAAAAAAGAACATTATAACCACAATGCTGGTGAGATATTTGCAAAACCCCGGAACACTGCTGTCTACAGTGGGGACCGAACACGCTATAACCGTTTCCGGGGCTAACGCGTTCAGCACCACGCCATGCGAGTCCTTCGTTTCGCCTGTCTCTCAGCCGTGTTATTGATCTATTGTTATTATTGATCTGTTGTGTTATTGTTATTACTATCTTGAAGTCTTTTATTATATTACAGCGTTTCGACTGTTTATTGGTTATTGTCACCAGTTTTATACATTTTCCTCCAAATAGTGGATATGGCTGTGTATGTAAAATAAAAGAGGATCCCCTGAATAGCAAGCAACTTGAGATGGAACAATACTTATGCGTTCCGTCTGATCGCCTTAAGCGAAACAAATTCTGTCAATACCATAAGTGAATACACAGTATAGCGAGCTTTTAGACTCTCTGCTGCAAACAACATACGAGTGATCGGCAATCACTAGAGGACTAGAACGAGATTAGACGATATCGTAGACCTTTAACGTCTTAGTGAGCATCTCCTGATGGATAGTTGAGAGAGTGGTGGTCGAGTTGACTGGATGCCAGACATAGCCAACGATCGACGACAACACTTTCCGATTTCTGAAATGACAAGCTTTCCGATGAGCATGAAATCATCTGCGTAGAGCTTCTAACTATAAAGTGTCAGGAATTTAATCTGTGTAACTTCGAAAGATTCGATTCAAGAAGACATAGATCTATCTCATTTCATTTTTTAGTGCTCCAAAATCGCTCATGAACAACGTGATGGTGTCCTGGTAAACATCTAGTCAATTCTAATACTTCAATGATTTGGCGCTAAAATATATTGCTTTCAATTTTTATGGGATTAGAGCTGTATTTCGATCATTAGTACAGAAGAATACACAATAAATGGGTAATTATGCTCAAATTTTGCCACATGTGCATCGAGTTTTACCAGTCACACGATCAGCACTGACCTGAGTGCAATCGCCCACACATCGTGTTCGGTCCACGCATGGTCCGTGTCAATGTCCTGCTCAGTCGCCACTGTCGCGATGTGGACAGGACTTGCTTCACTTGTCGGCACCACCCCTGACGAATCGGCGATGGATCGTTCACGATGTCGCGAGTATCCCTGTGTACGGATATCGAGCATAATTCAATATCACGCAGATTTCTTTATGCTTCTCATAGTCACTCACATTCACGTCAAAGTTAAGTACGATTGATATGACAACTGTTCATGATTTGTTCCTTTCCTGGTACCTCATGGGTTAAAAATGTACACGATTTTCTTTTAAAAATTTGTGTACATTCTAACTACGGCTTACGATAATTTAGACCCATGCAAAGAAGAAAGAAGGAAATATGAATCTGAAGAACAAAGAGGCAACGTTGATAAGGTCAGTGAAGCATCGAATAAATAGATAAGGGTCAATCAGGTTGATATAGAATGAGCCATTTGCTAGAAACCGGCCAATCAAACAGATCAGATTGCTGACGTCGTGGCTTACCAGTGCATCCAATTCCGAAACTCCGATAGTTCTGAGCAGTGATGCGAGTTGCTCGTCCTTTGCGCTGTTTTCCGGATGATTATAGTTTGGCAAATTGTGATGTGAATCGAGTAGTAGCTATAAAAATAATTTTCTCAATGTAACAATCTATTGGATGTGCATGCCGCAGCAGTTATAGGTGTCCTGCTATCCACATTGGTCGTCGGCTCGGTCCTCTGCGTTGGACTAATCAAACTCCCATTTTCCTGTGGTAGGCAAACTGATGCCAGCTTTGTCTGGAAGGATAGAAACACTGGCTTGGTGCATCGGTAGGTCCGTGAAAGTCATCGTTGAAACCAAATATGTGCCAAATCAGTTCTACAATGCTGTGAATGGGGATGAATGCATGACATATCCCTAACGGAACGAACGAAACAAAGTGCTCTATTACTCATCTTTTCTGATTTTCCATTATTTATAGCCATATTTATTTTGACACACTGATATCTCTGTCGGTCATCATTTTTCTCAACCATGCAACAAACACTCTAACATTTGAAAATGGATAGATTCACCTTCACTAACAGTCAAGGTTACAAAGTCCAGGGAAGTACGGCACCGATTCCAAATCAGGGATAAACTACTGCATTGAAACAATTCACTGCGAACACACCTTGCATTGCGAACGAGTTGTTCCCGCTAATATAATATAGTAACACTGTTTATTAGACCCGAAGCGGGGATGTGATCCGCGTCCAGCGATACCTAGAGTCAAAAAAAGCTGTTGTAGTGAAAAGGACCATACAATTGATAAGGTTCCTTCTTACACTTTCAAATTACTGGATCGTGAATATTTCTGTGTATTTCGAAAATTAGAATCACAATGACCTACCTCTTCGACCATGCGGATTGAGGGGATAACCGGCAGCGGAAAGCACCCAGTCACGACCAGAGTCGAGTGCTTGTCGTGCCCGCCAGATTCGTCGCAACTCCTCCATGTTCTAAATGTAATGATTCTAATTAATAGAAGAGACCTGTATGCAATGCTGTCGACTCTATTCCTGACGCTTAAGCGAGTTAACAGCTGAATGACTACTAGCAAGTCTAAGGAAATAAGGAAACAATTTTCTGTTTTCGAAAGCCAAATCCTTCAGCAAACTCCTAAAATAACAGTAACTCTTTTGGAGCACGGTGATAAGAGTGAACTCAGAGCTCAGAGAAATGAGAGGAGAAATTGAAAATAAGAGACATCGAATACCAGGAACCTGCTCAGTAGCCACTTCGACGTGGTTGGTGAGGTCGCTTGAGAATTCTTCGACAGGACGGCAATAAAACGGAGGAGAATAGCGAGGTAGAAGTATCTGAAGCAAGCTTCACATTGTAAGTAGACATCTATCGTTCCAACACGGCTTATTCATCATCTTATTTTAATGATGATCCCTTTATACAAGCAAAAAAGTGGAATAACAGAGAAAATTACAGTTTGAGGATACCTACCAAGGGAACTGGTAAGCAGGTAACCAGAGCAGAACTCAAGTTAGTAGTAAACTAACAAAAATTAATAGGTGACCATGTGAAAGTCATGGGATTCATCAAGAAAAGCAGATCGTTTCTTAAACGTATAGTAGTATCTGGCAATTCCTCCTTTTTCTTGAATAAGGGATAATGAGTAAAACATTAGATGTTGATCAATCCCTGAGGGACGCGCAACGCATTTGACTTCAAGAGCGTCGGTGAAGTGACTGAGGGTATAATTGGTCAATAAAATTAGTTATGTAGGCCTACTGTACTATGTCAGCGTTCTCTATTCACCTCAGCTAGTCTGTTACCAAACACCGCCTCCGGAGAGATGAACGGTTTGGTTAGCCCGACGACCAGGTCGACGAATGACCGACAGTTTGGAATGTAGTGGCACGTCTACCCACTGCGTTACACACGATTGGCGGATCACTAGTATCATCTACTGTCCTGTTGATCGTCGAGTGACTCGAGCGAGCGCCAGTAAATTTTCCACTTTTCCCTGTCGCGTACAAGAGCTCGCAATTGCTTGCTCTAGGGAGTCGTTGAGCATCTTACTTTGCATCTAGGGTTTTCGTGAAAAACTGTGACCATCAGGCCAGCTGTAGTTACGCAGAATGTTTGGCATCCTGTGGAATACAGTCCTTCATGGCTCCTGTCCATCGGTTGTTCATATGCGTTGCGTGTCCAGCCCACTTTATCTTCGCCAGTTTAGTGTATAGAATGGCGTCTTTGACTTTTGTTCGTCAATATTGTGACACGGGATACTCATAGCATTGTCCTTTTGACTGCGCATTCAATAACGCAGAGTAATCTTCCACGCTGCGTGCGCAGCGAGCAGGTTACTGACGCATACGTTAAGGCAGGAAGAATCGTTGAGTCGAAAAGGCGGACACGGAATCGGGTGTTCTTTGTTCGCCTCACTACACCCTCGATGCTCTTGAAAGCTCCCCAAGCCGCTAGTTTCCTTCTGCTCAACTCTAGAGCTAAGTCGTTCATCACGTTGATATCCCGACCAAGATAGATATAACTGGAGCATTCGGAGATATTCGTTCCGTTGAGCGTGAATGGGGCATAAGAAACCAATCCGTTCTTCATGAACATCTTTTTTGTGAGATTTAGTCGAAAACCAATCTTTCCACAGGCTTTATCAAAGTCGGCAAGCATACGTTCCGCTTGGCTAATGTTTGGTGTTAGAATAACGACGTCACCAGCAAAGCTAAGATGGTGTAACTGTCGACCACTGTTTTTCACTTCCACGTTGTCCCATTCCAGTGTTCGCATAACATTCTCGGGAGTGTTGGTAGATAATTTTGGCGGCGGGTGGTATCGCCTTGCGTATCTCCTCTTTTGACGTCGACGTTAATATCGTTGTAGATGATACCACGGTTGTGGAATTCCTACGCAGCTCACGAGGAACATTTGTATACTGAGTAGAGACTCCCTGGCTATTCAGGAATTCCTTGACTGCTTCTATTTCAACTGAGTGAGAAGATGTTAACTTTTTATTTGCTGCTTACTACAATTTTTCATGGCAAGGCATTATTTAAATAACACACTCATTCCCTACCAAAGATACCTGCGGTCCAGTGTTTTGCAAATATCTCAGCATCATTACAGTTGTTAGAGGACTTCCTTAAATCGATTAAGGTGAGATAGAGCGGTCTTTTGTACTCTGGCGATATTTCAATGAGTCCTGTTGTCGTGTGGATCCGGTCCACAGCACTGAATCCCTCTCGAAGCTCTTCTTGCTCGCGTAGTTTCCCTTTGTCCAGTGTTCTGTCAATCCTGGTTAGAATGGACCGAGTGAAAAGCTTGTAAACGACAGACAGTAGGCAGATTAGGTGATATTTGCTCATATTGTGGAGGTTACTCTTCTTGAACAATAGCATGGTCTTGCTACTTTCCAGGGAGTAAGAACCCCGCATTCTAACAGGTGACATGTAAAGAGAGTAACTCCCACGACCGACTTTCTGTTAACCTCGGCATTGATCAAGTAATTCTTCGAATTTTTGTTGAGCTAACGCGAGGTGTTATTATTCTTTATTCACGAATAAGCTGACGTTTCGGCGGATTTCGCCTTCCTCAGAGCCTGGAAAGGTCAAGTTGATAGCAATCTCCATACCTCCCAGACGCCTCCCTAACCAAACAAAGAAACTCCAAACCAAGATTTCAATCACTTTGAACACAGCTTTGCACACTCACCGCTTTCTATGAGGTTTCCACTAAGTATGTCACGTAGAGACCAACCGCACAGAAATCACATGGAAGTATAATGTGCCCCTCCCATCAGAATAGCAGTCTTATATACTGCCCTATATTACGCGTGATAATGAGGCATTCTTCCCTGCGGTTCATTTTCGGATTTCTGGAACTAATCCAGAATGCCTCGGGAGTTTTTCGCGCCTGTGTTCCTGATTCGCGTGCGAGGATCGTGACACATACTTCAAAGTCCTCCCCGTTATGTCTCTGGGTCCTATGCGTGCCTAGCGAGGTATTTGGTCTATTTTTGCCGGCTAGGTGTTCTTTAATGCGGACACAGAGGGGTCTACCCGTTTCGCCAATGTTTTCGGCACCACACGTCTTACAGGAGATCAGATAAACTATACCCGAGCTCATGCAATCACCATCTCTACCACTGGGGCTAATTATGCAATTTTGAGTTGCACATAGACGGTCATATAGGCGGTTACGAACTAGCTGGCGCTTAAGATTACTCGGTGGTATTCCAACTACGCTCACCGAATTGTCTAGACCGGCCCTTCTCAAACAGCGTTTGATAGCTATACTTATATCATTTGAGATGAAGGGTAGGATAAACGGGACCCTTCTATCGCTAGAGTTGTCGTTTGCAGGCCTGGGATTTCCTCTACACCTACGTGACATACTTAGTGGAAACCTCATGGGAAGCGGTGAGTGTGCAAAGCTGTGTTCAAAGTGATTGAAATCTTGGTTTGGAGTTTCTTTGTTTGGTTATGGAGGCGTCTGGCCGAGTAGATTACTATGAACTTGACCTTTCCAGGCTCTGAGGAAGGCGAAATTCGCCGAAACGTCGGCTTATTCGTGAATAAAGAATAATAACACCTCGCGTTAGCTCAATAAAAATACGATGAATTACTTGTAAAGAGAGTGTTGCTATGACGACTGGTGATGAGTGATCCGTACGATTGGCAGATATCCCTCCAAAAAGTAAAAGATGATCCCGTTTTTGTAACCTCAAAACAGCCTTTGGATCTGTAGCGCGGTGAAGAGCGAATGGAGAACCCTGTTAATATTTAGATACCATGAAACCTATGAAAATATATGCATTCTTTCTTGATAAGCTTGCACGAGGTTGATAAATATATTTATTTTCGGCTAACGTTTCGACGTCTTCGTCTTCCTCAGAGCCGATGATCCGAGTCGATGATCCATGATTGTTGTTCGTCTCGACGTTGCAGCTTCGCCTACGTGTCGAGCCAGGTCTTCCTCAGTGATCCATCTTCTACAAAAATACAGTCATGGACCATCGACTCGGATCATCGGCTCTGAGGAAGACGAAGACGTCGAAACGTTAGCCGAAAATAAATATATTTATCAACCTCGTGCAAGCTTATCAAGAAAGAATGCATATTGATTAGTCACACCGAGGTTCAGGGAAAGTCAGTTTCGAAATATGAAAATATAGATTGATCAGATTGCCAATCTCTACTTACGATGTATGCGAAGCTTTAGTTAAGGATCTGATAATACGTAATAATGATACAACAATGGAATAGTCAATTACGACAACACTGTACCAGCTGAGAAAGGGTCCAGAAAGCTAGAAACCGAGGATATATCATCCACTACACGTAATTTATGGCCGTTTGAGGAGAAAGATGATCATGTTACAGTAGAGGAGTCGAGGAAATTATTGTACTGTTTAACATGAATTTGACAATGAATTATCGATCGATTCATTCTAGTCGCTAATTACTAGACTTCCTTCGTGGTCTTCGTAGGAGTTCCTTCAGTTTTATTTCATGTAACCCGTTACCAGATCGCGTGTATAGATCTTAGCCCTTCTTGCTTTCGAGTCGTTATCTTCGTATTTATTGTCCACAAAGTTCGTAGAGGACACACAGTCCTCGTGTTTTTTCGGCTGCTTGTTGGGAGTTTCATCTTCTTTACAAATGTCACAGAATGCTGATCTAGTCGATTTTCCTCGAAATTTTGGAGAAAAGCGAGTTAGGGCATTCTCAGGTGGACTGTTGGGAAGTGCTGGGTAGGGGTCGAACCAGCACGCTGCTTCCAGGGGCACTGCGTTACTAACCATTGTGCCAGCCAATCGCTGGCATAAACGTTAATATCAAGCAATTACGTCGACTTTACATGCAGTGCATGTTAACAACAATCGATGAATAACAGTCGTTAATGAATAGGTTTCACAAGGCAGCGGAAGAATATCAATCATGACAACTACGGAAATGCTAGTCTCACTTTTTGTAGGGTCGAAGAGAAGTAAATAGATGTTCTTCATTTTGAATAAAACCTACCCGGCAATTCTGACATGGGACATTGCGAAATGGAAACTTTAATAACTCCCGTTTGAATCTCTCCTTTGGGGAAATAAACAAGTGCGAAACTTATTCCTCTACAGTATCTATCCGGTATAAAGACGAAAAAAAAACGACTACTGATATTTAATTTATGACTGGTTTACCAGAGACTGATAATGAGAAATATAAACGCTTTCAGCGCACCTCCCACGATCTCATGGGCTGTGGCACGGCCAAGCGCTTCATTTCTGTATCCGCGTACTGAACGAGCTCCATCTGCAAGAATTGATCCACAACACTTCGGGATGTGCTGGTTAACGGAGTAGTTCTTTTAAAATGGTCCCCACCTCGGATTTGTTTCTACGTTGACTTGCCGAGTAAGAACTATTGACAGCCACCATACGTAACTGTTTCTGAAATACCTGATTTATTTTGGAAACAGTGAAAAGAGAAAGATGTGGATGGAAAAGTGTGAAAAGTGGTAACTTCCAATCGATGAGTACCTCCATGGTTTTGATTTCGGCCTTCACTGAATCGTCTTGTTTTAATTGTACCTCCTTTTTCCATCGATCTATCATCAACTCACGCCAAAATGTGTTCACAAACTCGCTCCTCCTTGCGGGAATCGACGCGTTGCGATAAACAGAACCAAAGCGAACAGCAGCACGAGCACTGGAAAATATGTTCTGGATCAATGAGTTCAAAAAAAGCTGCACATTAGAAGTCCTTCCATACAAAGAACATTAATTATGGTGGTCTTAATACGCCTTATTAACCCATTTAAGTGATCAAATTGTGCCGACATGAAAGCCACTTCAAGTAAAAAGCCATCATACCGATCTCGATGGTCAACGTCGGGATGTTCCGGATGAGTGGACATCATCTGGCCAAGTTTGCCGTCAACTCGCCTGCAAGCCATGCAGAGAAAGAACAACGGCGTGAGTGGAGGTGGAAGTGGAGGACGAAGGCTTAAAACAAAATCAATTCAGATATCTCTAGGAAAATGGAAAATCGTTCACAATAGTCTTAGAGAAGTCGACTGATAGTGAGGAGCTCTTGTGCGATTTCATGCTTAGTTGTTACCAAAACGTAGGCATTAAAAGGACGTTCATTGAATCACACAAGCTATTCATTATATGAAATGTGTATTGGAAACCAAAACGGCCCGAGTGGCGCAGTGGTCGGAGGCTCCCTGAGATACATATATGGGATCGATCCCCGTGTCCGTGGCTCACCAAGACTTCCATCCCTCCAGTGTTGGCAAATTGGTACGAGTCTTGTCCATGAGGATAGGAGCACTAGCTCGATACATCGGTAGGCCACCGCGCGTCATTTCAAAGGCCAGATATGCATTCAGTCACTTCCAACGGTTCTTAATGAAGTCGAATGCAATGCATGGCATATCTCTCAGAGCTTGGTCAAGGTCGAGAGCTTTATCCTTTTTATCCTTTTACTGGAAACTAGGGAGAATTTTCACTGAAAACGCTGTCGACTTCTTTAGTGACAAAGAACATTGTTTTAAAGAAAGAGTCCAATGTGCTGTAGAAAAACCAACTGGTAACCGAAAAGAATTGGACGATACTGTAGTTCATTAAATCAATCCTCTCAATCACGATGTATTAAAGTTACCTTAAGCGAAGTTATTTCAAAATGCCAACGATTTGTATAAATCAATTTTCCCTTGATTCCATTATCTTCATGCAGTTTTGCTAATGCTGCCTTCCAGTACTTTAAAATACTTTTAGAAAAATAAGTTCTAGAGAAACGCAAGACATGCCTGAAATCAGTGACAAGTGAGTACATTTGGAATTTCCATATCTTATCAGCTTCTTCATCAACTGTTTTTGCGGTTTTTGCGAAGAATGCAAACAGCACTGGCCAGAGAATCAGCTAAAAACTGATGCAGACTAAATAGACGGTCACTGTAGAGATTAGTAAGTGATCACTGTAAAAGTTCAAAATGACATTCTCAAAGAAAATATCAAACCTTTAGCAATACGAAATATTCGAGAATGACTAGATAACCAGCAGCTGATTGAGAAGGACAGGAAGTGTTGCCGTATTGCCCAACGAAACTACAGTACGACGTTGGAGATCCAAGGAACGCCTTTTTACAAGTATCGGACTCCTTCAAGTCTAGGAACAAAAGGTCCTCCATCTTAATTCAAACATGCATCCAGAACAAATTTCTGCAAATAAAGTAACCAAAAATAGTCTAGAAACTTTTGCCTAACGTGTCGGCTTCACCCAGCTCCTTTATTACCTATAAGAGTGCAAAGCAGTTTCAACGACGTGCTACTAGTACACAAAAAACTTTCGATCCGACCTTGCATGATTACACCCCGTAATCCGGCTTTCCACTCATATATCTCTATCACCTAATTACACGTGAAAATCGATGTTGACGAACACAAGGTCGTTAATCTTCAATGTTATTCGTACTTAAAAAGGTGCGAAATCTAATTTCTTCAAGGAAGGGAGGGATACAGGTTGAGTAGAATCATTGCAATTAAGGCGGTAGCGGATATCACTACCGAGTGCATAAGGAAAGTCGGATCTGAGAGTAACCAGGATTGTCTCATAAACCCGTGATGACAAAAACGCCGAACACCATCCTCGGTAAATTGTAGATGAGATGCCGAATGGCTTTGAATTCGAAAAAAAAACCAAATGGAGGAAGTTAAAAAGTCCAAAAAGTGGCCGCTCGTGGCAGTGGAACAAGCTATACCATGCTCTATTGCTTGGATACTTCCATGGCCCGTCTTCACTGATTGTGCGGGTCCCAGCATAATTTTCAATTTTTCGGGCTTAGCCATTGTTGTTCCTTGAAGTCACACGGTCATCCTGGCCAAATTTTGTCCCAGGTCGTTATCACCACAGACAGTCGAAGCCCTTGTAAATCAGAGTATAGTAACTATTTCTCAAATAGTTCCTATTCTCTATAATATCGCATGTTCCCTACATTAACTGCTTATTGTAACTACCTTAAATCTATCGTTGCATCTTCTCTAAATTGTCTCTCAGAGACCATTTCATGCACTTGTCTCGCAGCTGGCTGCAAAGGGATTCGGTGACTTTGTATAAAACGCTCTTCTTTGTATTCTTTCTTTGATGAGCTTACACGAGGTTGATAATGATGTTTATTTTCGGCTAACGTTTCGACGTCTTCGTCTTCCTCAGAGCCGATGATCCGAGTCGATGGTCCTCGCTTGTTATTCGCCTCGACGTGGCAGCTTCGCCTTCGTGTCGAGTTAGGTCTTCTTCAGTGAGCCATCTCCTCGAATGAGGCAACTTTACTCAGTGATGCCCTTTTATACACGATGCTGATGGTCGATATAATGATAGTGTCCGGTGATAACAACTTGTTTTTCTTCCGGACATACATCATTGCGCACATCGTGCAGAAGTCGGTGTTGTTATCAGCTAGCACAAAGCGTAGTAATATTTCGAAACCGACTTTGTCCCACAGTTCAGGCACCGAATGAGTATGTGCTTTCCAGCATCTGCCGTTCCAATGTTAGACATAAGGTTATCGGATCGTCATCGGAAACAGTCTCAGCATTCCAGCGCTTCACTCCCCCAGTGTCTCAAACCCGGTGTTTGCTCAACTTCCTTCAAGTGCTTCACTTACCTTCATTTCAATTTCGATCGTGCCCGTCACTCAACTAGCCGCCATCAGGCTGTGTATATTATATTGTTGTTATTGCAAATAAAAAAAACCAAAATAAAATTTTACAACCCAATCCCAGATTGTTCTCCGTGCCTAGGTCAAAAAGTCCCGCTTGGCGTAATACACAGTCGACCATTCTACTTCGAGTTAGTAATTGTTCTGTGCCGAAGACTGACCCGAAGTCCTATATTTCACTGCACCAACCTATACACTTGGTGCATTGGCCAATCGGAGTCGAACTCTACGCTAAACGCGATAAGCCCATCGATGTTATATTATTCTAGCATTCCACTGTACCAACTAATAAACAAAGGGGAATTTGCCACTATGCAACTAGTTTGATACCAGGATTGTGGTGGATCGTGGTATTGGTTTACTCTTAGAAGGGGCTTCTTGATGGAAACGCCGAACTCCTCCTCAACTTGGGAGATCTTGCCGGGTGGACGAACCCTCCTGCTGTACATCGCAGCCGGACACCTACAATCACCCAGCCACGATCAGGCGGCAAACCATTGGGAGGTACCATGCACTATTGCTTTATTTATATCTGTATATGATAAAGCAATATTACCATTGATAAGCATGATAAACGGCAAATGTACAGCGCCATTAGATCGTTCTGAACTTAGTTTCGCTGAACCAATTCATTCCCTATGGAAGTAAATCTTGAGTGAATGACAATGAAGTAGAAAAGACGGCATCTTTCCTAGAATACAAGTGCACTCACTGGATAAATCAGTGGTGAACAGTGATAGCCAGACCCACGACAATGAAGAACGGGCAACGGAGAGCGAAATATCTCGATCTGGATAGAGGATCGCGTGGATCGCCGCTGCACTACTAAAAAATGTTAGTTGATTTTCAAGCCATAACGTTCCGCTACTGATTTTCGTGGTTGGCCCGAAAGATTATCGGCAGTTCTGTAGACTGCGGATTTTCTGGCTCTTAAAAAAATTGTTTTTCAATGACTAAAGGACCTGAGGGATTTTGAACATGACAGAATTGTAGAAAAGACTTTGCTCTGTCGTTCCATGGGTATGAATGTTATGTATGCTTCTATTTTCCGTGTTACTATGGTCCCTTATGCAATATTCATTGCAATCAGCACTTTGAAGTATTTTGCACCCTGTGGTAGTCCATTTCGGTGTTTTTCATATCCATACATTTCACACGAGGACCATGGCGATTAAAATGGAATAACAGTTAATGATTAGTCAATGCAGTTTTCGAAAAAAGGATTTTTGGAGATAATTAAGTGTGGCGAATGCCTTTCCTAATCCTACCCCTCACATTTTAATCTGCTTTCGATTAGTTATCGAATGAGCACACATAGCTCGATAAAAAAACTGGAACCCATTAAACTCAATGTGGACACTGTAGTGTTCCATACGGGACGTTTTGGGTTGAAGATCGAATTAGTATGTTAAAAATGATCTAAAACGTTATTATTTGGAGGCATAAGAAACCCTATGGAAGAACTCACGGCTAAAAACGAACAAAAATTGTGGAATTTCGGAAGCATACCTCGACATAACAAGAGCAACTAGAATGAGAAAGTTGGTGAAATCCCTAAGTATCATCAATTTCACTTTAACCACAATTGGACCGAGCACTTCCGATAGAGGAATATAGAAGAAAATCGTTGCATAGCACCAGTAGAGCAGAAAAAAAGCCGATAGCACTCGGACCGGGTAGACGGTGTCCAGCAGCTGAACACCGCAAATCGTCTGCCATTCTTACGCCTCCATGGCGAGATAAGTGCTGGGTAAACTTCAACGATTCTCTAATGAAATTGAAAGAAATTATCTCAGAACCGCAACCACATCTCTCTATTGCAACTTTATGAACGTGTTTTGAATTCTGCATAAGAAAACCTATCAATGGAAACGACAAGGGATAAAACTCTCGGTGCTGACCAATCCCTGACGGTTCCGCCAAGCATTCAACTTCATCAAGCATCGCCAGAGGTGACTCAATGCATATCTGGCCTATACAATGTCTCGCGGTAACCTAATGAAGTGCTGAGTCAGTGCTGCTTTCCTCCCAGACAGGTGTGGTAGCGTTTTACCCAGACAGGTGTGGTAGCGTTTTACCGATCCCGGAAGGATGGAGAGCTTGCTTAGCCTGGGAATGGGATCGAACCCATGTGTATTGGAGGGCGGTACAAGCATTGCGCTAAACGATAACCTATCAGTACAAACATGAAATTTACCCGAAACATTTACAACATTAGTGATGCTGAAATAGTTGCAAGACTTGAATCCCAGACCAGATTCAATCCTTTTCAAGGGGCTCACGTGTTGCCCACTGCACCACTGAAGCCTTTGCCTTTCTTCCTCTTAACCATCTTTCTCATCGTTAGGGTTAAAAACTGTCTGAGAGAAAAGCAAATCAAAGATGACAGTGGTGCGTGGGTAAAACATGGATTCTTGGAATGGGTAATCGTGGATTGAACCTGGGTTGGGCCCAAGTTTTAAAATATCTCAGCATCATTGTGGTTGCATTTCACACAATACCATGCCATGAAAAAAGTAATAGGTAGTAAATAAAAAACCATATATTTAAAATATTCCTGTTAACCCGTATTACGTATGTAAATAGATATACAATAATTTAAAAGTCCTTTGTTTAAAGTTAAAGTAAGTAAGAAATTTACACATTTGGTTTCTCAATTCGTCTAGTGAAAATTTACCTTAAGTTAATAGAAGATAGGAGAGGAGGGGAGATAGTACTAGTGAAGGCGAGATTCCAGTTCCTCACCGGGCAAACCGTGCTTCCTATCTCTTTGAGGGCTTAAAATTAGTACCAAACACCTCTAGGAAAAGCTCTAACGGATCCAAAAACGCTAACGACTTCCTGTGGTTAAGGCCTGGAAACGCGCTAGCAAAGCTGTACCAGGATTCTAGGGAGAAGTATCTCTACTATCATTCAAAGGGATGTGTAAAGAAAACGAAAAATCACTGTATAGCAGCCGAGCCCACATACGAGTCCGAAGGCATTTGTAGAGGATAAATGGAAGGAAAGGAATCGGATGAATGAAATGCTGGGAGACACAGGATGTCGTTTTGAGTCATATCACGCAGAATAAGGAAGATAAAAATTATAAAAGAAAATGAGAGTTACCGCTTAGTTAGAAGTTAGGTGGCTTAAGCAACGTGTAATGGAGCTATCTGAAAAGGGCACTGCACTTATTTACGGTGATCGAGTCCACACTGTTGGTAATCGGATTTGCGGTTTCCCATTCCTGTCTTTTTTGCCGTACGTATTAATTCCATTTCAATGGCATGCTCCCAATTCTCTTTTGATTGTTGGTAATGTAAAACAGACTAGTGTGGAAGCACTACTGTAACGTAGATGTATTTTTCAACTAATCTTTTCTATTTTACGTAACCAGATATAACAGATTTTGTGTGGGTCGTAACGTTTCTTGTATTCAGTCCTCGCATTCATCACTTATGAACGCCTTCGGATTTTCCATTAGTACCCCTAAGTTAGTGTATTGGCCAAATATGCATTCAATCTTCTCTACCACTACGAACAGAGTCGAATGCATAGCGCATCCCAAAGGGATTCAACGCCGACCCCTTTACGTTTTATAAAAGAGAAAACAAGATTTCTCCAAGATATCGGAATAAATTAAAAATCATTGTCCACTCACAAGAAGACTCGAAATCACACTGTCACCAACAAATTTAAAGAGTAGCATCGCGATAAGAAACAGCAAAGTAAGTACACAGTCGAGAACCTAAAAAATATTTCACGAGTTATATGAAGGATTTGATTAATCCAATTTTCAGCAGCTTAGTGAACTTTCCTACCCGCCATGGCATAAGTGAGAGTGGGATGGTATGATTCCTCATATTCAGTACCCAGATCGCTTCAATCCATGCCATAAACGTCCACATCCAGATCAGAGCGTCCACGGTCAGGTTTCCACAACCAGGAAGCAACACCTGGATGAAAACTTCCTCTCATGTCGCCGATTTTTTCTTAAAAAAGAAGGCTCACTGAATAGGCAAGAAGAGAAATGTGTAGTAGTCGAAATACCAAGGAGAGCCAGTATTTAACAATTGGTGTCGAGTAGAATAGACAAAGCGACGGTAGTGCTCGACGAGTAATTCGCGGCTGCATGAAGGAACTTGTCCCAGGGTAATATGACAAAAAATGCTAGAAGAAAGTAAACTGCACCTTTCTAGTGAACATGGTAAATTCGCCGTCGACATCGTCAATATTCAATGGGAAAACCATTGACTGTGGTGTAACGGATTCAGCGATTGCCAGCTGTGGAATCGCGTGGCTTCCAGTAGTTGCACCCAACATGTCGCTTCGACCAGAAACGACACTAAATTCGTCCGTATTCTATTATTAAGCAAGATATATGTGAATGAATGGACGAAAAACACCTGTATGTGGACACAGCTCGAACTCTCTTTGGTTGTCTGCTGATGTCGAGAAGAGCAGCTGTCGGGGATTTTTTGTCAGTAGTGTCTTGAAAAGCGACACCGGTATTCCGCACACACATCCACCATCGTATAGGAAACACAAAGACAGCTGAAAATATGCTCAAAAGTTCTGTAGTATGGCTTTTTTTAAGAAGAGAACTTTCAATGCGAAAACACCGCGTACGCGTAGGAGGGCTACGGCGTTGCACTTAGTAAAGCAAAAGCATCGTACTGGTATGATTGTACAAAATCATTTTAATACTTACTTGATACTTGAACGGCCCGCCCTCACTGGCTGTGCAGGCGCCAGCATAATCTCCATTTTCCAAAGATTTGCTGGCTAAGCCACTGTAGTTCCCTGGAATTCCGAGGTCATCATGATCAAGGTCTGCCCCAGGTCTTCACCACCGCAAGCAGTCGCAGCCCTTGTGGATTAGAGGGAGATTTGCCACAATGCTACTTTGATAATAGGACCATGGTGGATCAAGGTATTGGTTTACTCTTAGCTAGGCTTCCTGATGGAAACGCCGGACTCCTTATCAGCTTGGGAGACCCTGCCAGGTAGGCGAATCGCCTCGCTGTACATCGTAGTCTGACACAAAGGAACACCTTCCAGGCACGATGAGGCGGTAAACCGTTGAGAGATTTTAGTACATATTTGTTCTAAAACGGTTTTGTCGACGGTTTACCGCCCCTTCATGGCTGGGAGGTGTTCCAGAGTGTCGGGCAGCGATGTACAGCGGAGAGATTCGTCCCCCTGGCAGAGTCCTCCAAGCTGAGAAAGAGTCTGGCGTTTCCATCAGGAAGCCTAGCTAAGAGTAAACCAATACTAGGATCCATCACCGTCTTGGTATCAAAGTCGGATGGTGGCAAATCTCCCTCTGATCCACAAGGACTGCGACCGCCTGTCGTGGTGAAGAGGCAGACTTTAGCCAGGCTGTCCTCGGGATTCCAGGAAGCCGCAATGGCTTAGCCAGCAAATCTCCGAAAAATAGTGATTATGCTGAGGCCCACACAACTGATGAGGGTGGGCCGTTCAAGTACCAAGTATCAAGTATATAATGCGATATGAATAAAAAATGAATTTCCGCATTCACTCGATGTCGAATTGAAGCGATTAAGTGCCTAGTCACGTTGTCAACCGCTCATCACATCAGCAAACTGACCCCGATAATGAATGGTAATCAGGTCCCCGATTTTTTACCATTGGAAATTACGATATCTCTAATCTGCACTTCCCTCTCATAAACTCATAAGCCGTAAAGAGAATCGAAAGAGAAATGAGTTAAAAGGCCAACCAGCGATAAGCATTTTCATCCACCTCGGTAGAATTGTTGACGAGCAGGTTTGCAGTTGACCGTGAAGTAGACGATGTAACCATCGTTGACAGGATTCGTGTGCTATCAGACTGCGCATATTGAACTAAATAATTATGATGTATGAAGAAGTAAATTAGGTATTTTATTTTCTCTTTTGTTCTCAATTCTTATGTAACCATCCAATCAAAAGAAACGAGCAGATTCACCAACAAGAGTACTGTATGCTTTTGTTGAAGAAGAAATAAAAAAGGGTAAGAGATGACCGATTCTCTCTTAGGAAACAAAAAGAAACAACGCACTAAAAAATGTGGAAATTAAAGTCTTTTTCAATGTGGACAGAATGAAGGTTGCTTTGAAAGTATCCTATTATATAACCTCACAAATACCGAACAGGTATTTATTGCGAACGGTATCCGATCGATATTGGGAAAAACAGAGGCCTTTTTCAATAGTTACCACTTCTTATATACTTGTGTTTTTCAAGGATTGTGCTATCCCTATCGTATTTTCATGCCTGCCATTTTCCTGAACGAGATAAAATTTGGGAAAGCCGCGATTAGATCGAAAGTAGTTAATAGACATTCTCTGACCCTCGCTAATCGCAAAAGATACGGTATTTTGCGAATAATCTTTATCCAGTATGGCAAGAATATCCGCCGCTAACTTTTAACTCCAACTAAGCTTCCGGATGAAAATCTAGAAATTCTCATCAGCTTGACTGATCTTGTCGAGGTAAGGGTTGACAAGGCAGCCTATCGTCATGACGAGCACGACGAAGCGGTGAAACATATGGTAGGATCTCTTCCAAAAACTAAATAAAGAGCGAAGCCACTGAAAATCTCAATTGTAGATGGGGCAATACAGAAGACGTCTATAACAACGTTTCCTGCCTTTCAAGCACATATGTCTCCAAACGCGCTCATTCAGAAAAAAAACAACATAACCAAAACCATAATAACTCACGTCTACCCCCCGATAGATTGATCGTATAAACACACTGGACAATTCCCTCACCTGGAACGCGAGTTGCGAGAGCGTAGTGCCATGGAACCCGTCAAGCGGTTGGCACAGAAGTTGATAGGCTTTGTTCGGAGCGCTACGATGCACACTGTCGACGAGTGCAAGGGCTGATGCTGAGAGCGCCGCTGACAGTCGCAGAAACGATTCCTCGTAGAAAAACCAGTCGTGAGACTGAACAATTGAGCTCTTTCATTTCAGGAAGGATCATTGCGATCGCATGCACTATTAAGTAAGAAATTCTAGAAAATATAACTAGAATGCTTTCACTACGGAGAGGAAAGCGCAGTGTCATTAATCCCTTCATTACGCGGGCGGCCTCACCTACCCATACTCTGGTTCTACCCCCCACCAGGCTTACCGAGCCTCTTATCCCTCCGTGTTCGGGAAACTGGTACCAGACTTCTCTGGGACAGCCTCATTCCCTTCAACTCACGAGGAAACGCTCTAGGACTGCTATCTCAACATTCCAGGCAGGATCGAATTGATCAGCAATCAGTGACATTTATGACGAAAACGAAAAAATCCTCAAACAGCAGCCGAAATCACACGCAAAACAAAGAAAACCTTTGTGGATGGTGGGTGCGTGGAAACGAATAGGATGCAAGAAGCTGTAGTCCGCACCGTGTCATAAATACGATTTCAGATAATGTAATCAAATAATATTAAATAATACTATGACCACCTGCATCACCTGTACTCCCGTTGATAGTCGAGTGATTCGAGCGAGCGCCAGTAAATCTTTCACTTTTCCCTGTCGCGTGCAAGAGTAACCCAGTGGGTTCTGCTCACTCTAGGGACTCGTCGAGTATCATATCTTTCTTCAAGGCTCATTATGAAGAACTCTGACCATTGGGTCGATGGTCTTCCTGCGGTACGTTTAACATACCGAGGAATCTAGTCACTAACGGCTGTTGTCCATCGGTTGCCATTCATACGCATTACGTGCCCGGCCCACCTTATCCTTGACAGTTTGGTGCACAGAACGGCATCTCTGATTTTTGATCGTTGAAGCAGGTCGGAGCTTCGGATCTCTTCCCTTACTTCAGTAACAAAGGATACTTTTAGCATCGTCCTTTCGACTTTGCGTTCAACAACGCTGAGTGATCTTTCATCCTGCTTACGCAGCGACCAGGTTTCTGACGCATACGTTAAAGCAGGAAGTACCGTTGAGTCGAAAAGGTGGGCACGGAGTCGGGTGTTCTTTGTTCTCTTCACTACATCCTCAATGCTCTTGAAAGCTTTCCAAGCCGCTCGTTTCCTTCTGCTCAGCTCTGGTGCTAGGTCGTTCATCATGTTGATTTCCCGAGCTAGATAGACATAACTGGAGCATTCGAAGACATTCGTTCCGTTGAGCGTGAATGCGGCATACGAAGCCAATCCGTTCCTCATGAACATCGTTTTTTTAAGATTTAGTTCAAGACCAATCTTTCTACAGGCTTCATCAAAGTCTGCCAGCATACGTCCCGCTTGGCTAATGTTTGGTGTTATGAGGACGGTGTCATCAACAAAGCGAAGATGGTGTAACTTTCGACCATCGATTTTCACTACCATAATTCCACTCCAATGTTCGCATGACGTTGTGGAGGGTGGCGGTAGATAACTTTGGCGAGATGGTATCGCCTTGCCTAACTCTTCTTTCGACGTCAATGTTAATATCGTTGTAGAATGGTGATACCTTGGTTGTGAAATTTTTGTACAGCTCGCGAAGAATCTTTACGTACTGAGTAGGGATTCTTTGACTATCAAGGGCTTCCATGACTGCTTCTATCTCAATTGAATCAGAAGCCTTCTGTAAATCGATGAAAGTGGGACAGAGCGGTCTTTTGTACTCTCGCGACACTTCAATGGGCCTTGTTATATTGTGGATGTGATCAATCGTACTAAAAATGAACCCTTTTCGAAACCATGCTTGGTCACATGGCTGTCCTTGGTCAAGTGCTCTGCCAATCCTGTTTAGGATGACTCGAGTGAAAAGTTTGTAGACGACAGGCAGTAAGCAGATTGAGCGATAGTTGCCTATATCATGTAGGTCACCTTTCTTGAACAATAACATGGTCATGCTGGTCATCCACTGAGTAGGGACTTTGCATTCATATACGTAACGTGTGAAAAACCGGGCCAGTGTGTTTATGAGGACTGGTGGAAGGTTCTTCAGGTTTTCTGATCTTATCCTGTCCGGACCTGGTGCTGTTCGATTTTTCACCGACGAAATGGCATGACGGATTTCGGAAAGGAGAACCGGTGGTACAACATATCCATCCTCCCTTATTTCATACGACGGATGGTGGATGTGGCTATCGAAGAGATCTTAATAGTATTCGTGAATGATTTTCTTCATTGCCTTTCTGGACGCTGTAACTGTTCCGTCTGGGTGTCGGAGTGCAATCATTTTGGTCTTGTAATTGGCGAAGCTTCGGTGGGCTTTGCGAATGCTTTTTCCAGCCTATGCAGCTTCGACCATTGCTGCTGCTCTTCTCTCTTTAAGATCTTCTTTTACCGCCTGTCTGCATTGCTTTGCAAGTTCGGACGTCGGACCCGGATGGTGTTGTGGTGAAGTGCGCTGCTCCCCGGTAAGGACAACAGCGCGTGTTCGTTCCCCACTGCATACACCTGTGGTCCGGAGTTTTGCAAATATCTCAGCATTTCATACGAATAATAATAATGTTTTCAACAACAAGTATAACAAAATTTGCAACACCAACGCTTTTGCTTTACCTGCATTACGGCATTGTTACCTCTTCCTATCGATGGTCACCGTTTGATAAACGGAAAAATGAACTCAAAATTCAGTAAAGAAATTTATAGGAGGAGCATGTTCCGTTTGTTACTATCCCGTAGTATGCCTCAGTAGGCTTGTTGGTTCGAGAAACTCCGAGAAGATCGAGCATTTCGTACGATCCGCTTGCTTTTACAACTTCGCAGGCACCGATAGGTAGTTCTCTAGTTCGTGCCCTGTTAATGGCGGAAATGGAAACAAGTGACAGACATACTCATAGGCAACGAGCAATCCCGAAATTAAAGTCTTCTACGTGCTGTCGGGTAGGAGATTATGAATAATCTCCCAACTACCGCACTTCCTACTATTTATTTAAATATTTGGATGGCCGCTCCTAACTGATTGTGCAGACCCCAACGTAATTTCTGTTTTTTGGAAATCTGTTGGTTTAGCCATTGTGGTTCACTGGAGTCACAAGGACAGCCTGGCCAAAGTCTGCCATAGGTCGTCACCACCACAGGCTATCGCCGCCTCTGTGGATCAGAGGGAGACTTACCACCATGCGACTTTGATACCAAGACGCTGGCGGGTCCCAGTATTGTTTTAATCTTTGCCAGACTTCCTGATTGGAACGCCGGACTCCTTCTCATCTTGGGAGACCCTGCTGGGAGATGAATCACCGTGCTGTACATCGTAGCCCGACCACCCAGCCACGATGAGGCGGCAAACCGTTGGGAGGCACCTCCTAGTACCTTAATTAAAAGTCATTTGGCTCGTATGCAAAAGACAATCCACGTATATGCAAATGTGCACAAGCACATGTAAACATGCACGTATGAAAATAATTTCAGGCGTGCAGAAGATATACCAGTCATGCGCAGCATTGAGAGGATGTCCATCCTCTTAGTTCACCTGCGTCTTCGGAGAACGCTTTCATAGTACAGGTAGTCCTTAAACACGCTATTTTACATTAGAGAGAGTATAACATTCTAGAAATTTTCTACAGGCGCGTTGAAGTAGGCGAGTTTATGAGGAAGAGTACCAAAAAGGACATTAACCAGAAGTACCTATCTAACAGCAGCACGGGTTTCACTGCTACCAAAATCAATCACGTATTATTCGGTCGCATAGTACACAAATGCACTGTCTCACAGTTCCTCGCGGCGACACGAGCTTTGAGACCCCGGAAAGGTAAGACATGTACTGCTCCGTCAACAGTTACTCATGAGCAGCGATAGGGGATGGGATAACATCAGGCTCCCGTGCTAGATTAGCCAGTAAGCAACCGCGATGCTCATTCTGCAAGAGCAGTGATCAGTTTACCAACGACTTAAAACTCTGGAAAACCTTCCATACACTGGGAGCGTGTGGTGCATTGGTTAGAGGTGTCTCGTGATACATACGTGGCAGCTAGTTTGGTCTGGTGATCCGAGGTCACCAAACCCTCTAGCGGGGTTGGCAAATTGGTACTAGACATGACTAATAGGATAACAGCACTGACTTTACATATCGGTAGGCTACCCTAAATCGTTGTATAAGCCAGATATGCATTCAACCACCTCTAACGATGCCTGATGAAATGAAATGCATGGCATCTTTCAGGAATTGATTAACGTCGAATTCCTCGTTCTTTTATCATCCGGAACTTCTACATCCTAATTTTAACTATTCCGACCTCTGAAAACTCCTTTCAGGGCAATCACTGCGCCAATTTCGATTGCTCTAAATTGTAACTCAAGAAATTTCTCAACTTAAAGTCTTCGCAGTTCTTACAGAAAAGTAACCTACCTTGAAAAAAAAACGCGCCTGCAGAAAAATTCTAGAATGTTATACTCTCTCTAATGTAAAATAGCGTGTTTAAGGACTACCTGTACTATGAAAGCGTTCTCCGAAATTACCTCACCTACCAAACATTTAGCTCAAACGGCTGATTATCGTGGTAATTTCACCAATGAATGAAATGAAACGGTACAGAAAAAAGCAAAAAAGTGAAACTGTTAAATTGAATCCGTACAATATCATCCGTGCATAGTCGCCTTCGGTTTTCGAAAAAGTGAAAGATTCTTAAGTCTTGTTCAAAGTCTTGGGCGCCACACAGATTTCCTTCGAATTACCGCAAGAAATTCTCATTCTCATGTGAGAGAAATTCGTGGATTTGTTAACGTAGGAAAGAAGGAGAAAATAAATGAAAGAACAGTGACGATGGATATTCAAACCTCATGAGCTAACGACTTAGCGAGCCTCGACAAAACAAGGGAAAAGGCGACCGGCTGTTCAGAAAAGGCACAAAGACATCGCACTACAGCCGGACAATGCAGCAGCAGACACCAGATCTGAAGCATTTATTCTTCAGAAGTAAATCTTCTCTATTCAAATCTAAGTGCTCTAGAGGATCAATGGCAGCTTGAAAGTGAAGAGAGATCATCGGAGAATGCAGACGGTTACTCGCTGTCGAAAGTACGTGAAGTGCGTACTGATAATAGAAATGGGCAATACCGATTCAAATCTACGAAGATAAGAGAGAAATAGGAAAATGAGAAGCACGGCTGTATGGTATCAGTGAATTCACGCTTTAAAAAAAGGTAAATGATGCCAAATTTCTCGTTTAACCACAATCCGCTACTATCAAGAAATCGATGCCTCGGATTTGTAATAGCGAGAACTCGGACGTCGACATGTTTCGTACTGTTCCATTGTTATAAACTGCTACTGTGGAGTACCCTAGTCGATATAGAAGGCATTTAATCAAATATATGAGTGCTATATGCTATAGTTCCATTTTAACTTTACTGGATTCCAGAGAGTTTTTACCGCACGATATAAACTCATTCGATAGCTCATCTAGAGCTCATCAAAGTAGTAGAAATGAGATGAGAAGAATCATGCTCTGCATTTATTTGCAAAAACACTTTCTTTCGAAAAAGTTCATTGACTGATATTTTGACTAACAATTAACTGCTCTTTCATTTCAATTGCTCTGGTCATCGTATGCGATGTGTGGATATAAGAAACCTCAAGATGGTCTTAACATGGGGTGCAACATATTTCAAAATGCTGACAGCAATGCATTTGCGTAGTGTAGTACGGTAATGCAGAGCAAACAGTAGCGTTCAATCATACATACCCGTAGAACGATAGAGTAAAGTATCTTCTACAATTCTGTCATGTTCAAAACCCCTAAACCGCTCTAATTATTGAAAACTATTTTTTTTGCGGAAAAGCCAAAATATTCGTAGCCGACGAAAAATTGCTCGTAATCGACTCGACCAACCATAAAATATGAGAACGGGACATTATGGGTTAGTACTGAGTGATCAACACCATGGAGTACAGCACTCACCGCCAGTACTTGGACAGAGTCCGCTGGATCTCGATGTTGCAAGGCGTCGCCGCAAAGAGTGGTCGGTGGAATGAGATCGTCAACACCAAAGGAAAGACGCTTCTGAATTCCCGTTTCGGCTAATTTTTAAGCAAAATTGGATGCAGGATTAAGATTATAAGAAACTGAACATTAAGTGCTAGAAATAATCCATATTAAAAACTCCTTTCCGTTGCATTTGTGACTTGTAATGTTTTACAAAATGCTTGTACGCTTTAAAATACTTGCAGAAAACGCATAAAATAGGTAAGGGAAAAAATCTACTAAAGAGATAGCAACGTAAAAAGAAAAACGTACAAAGTTAATGGGCCTTGAATTATGAAACACTAGGAAAATCAGCACCTACCAGTAGGCGGTTCAGATCGTTTACGAAGTTATCGTCTAGCTCTTGCGGAAATGATGAATATCCCATACATTGACAAAGAACCACTGTCGTAAAGAAATGCTGAAAAATACTAACAGACGTTTGAACCCGTCTCAGAAGTCGTGCAGATTAGTGGTCGTGACGTGGCTGTAGTGAATGACAAGAACGACTTAACACATTCGCGACGAAGCTAGTTTTTCGACAACACAATAATTTCCCCATTTATAGAGCAGTGAAGGAGTTCAGAAGTTTGTGGATCAGTAGGACAGAGCTTGTTCTACAGCCTTAAGGGCATATATTATTTTTTAAAAATATCCTTTGTAGCTAAAACTTGTTTAGATTTAAGATTCTCAAAAAATTGAGAACGGAATTTAATTTTGTAAACATCTGAAGAAAGCCCAATAGTCGCAAGGATCTACGATGCACTTGTGAAGAACATAAAGTCCTGCTGGACAAAATCACGCATGCTCAATTGCTTTCGTCCTCAAAATACCAGCTTTGAAGAAACGAAAAGTGGAAGGGAAGTTTCGTAAGCTCCAGAAAACCAAGCATCCATCTTGGTAGCATGAGGAGACTTCGATCGTTTCGACAAGTCTCTATAGGTTATAATGAGCCTTTGATTTCATTATCGAAATCATCTACTATTAGAAAACGGCACTTCTTTTCACATTAAACGCGTTGAAATCAATGCATTTGTGTTAAAGGTGTTTTATGCACGAATGCTCCATGTTCCAATACAAAGCTAATGACACAGATGTTAAAAATTAACGCAAAGCAACGGAGTTAGATTACACAAATGCTTAATGACTACCAGATCAGACGATGAACGTGCTATTTTCAGCAACATTTCCGAATTGATGGACATCTGTGGTTTCCTTTCCAAAATTGCGGCCAGAAAAGTGACTCTAGCAGGAACTGCTATTGCCTCGCAGAGAATCTCCGTTAGCAGCTGAAAATAGTTGTGATTATGCTTCACTGGAGGGTAATCAGCAGAAAACTGAAGATTTTCCACAGAGGACAGTAAAGTTTGTGAGAAATCTTCGCAAATCCACCGAGGTTTAGTTGCTTCATCATTGGCTGTGGAGTATCTATGAGTGTCCAGTTGACATCGGTGGAGTATCTATGAGTGTCCAGTTGACATCGGTGGAGTATCTATGAGTGTCCAGTTGACATCGGCAAAGGAGGTTCATTCACTCAGCACAGTGAGAAGGAGGACGAAATTTTCACCCGAAAGCCCATCCAAGATTGTAGCACATGATTAAGACAGATCGAAACAAAATGTCTACGACATGACGTAAATATAGCTTCTTCCTTCTTACCTACGGCCAAAGCACAGTCCCTTCTTACACCGATCTTCAGCCCATCCTAAAGTACCTTAATTGTGCACGGTGAGAAAATCCATCAGGACTTTCTGGTGTATAAGATCTAGTCAATGATGGGATAACGTACAAGGCGGAGTGAGACGCTTCAAATGATTTAAGAGTTATAGAAAGTTACTCTCAGACTTCATTTTGCTTAAGCAAATCCATACACACGGACGACTAGTGCGAGTTAGCAAAACAAACGACTATAATCTGGAGGCATCACTGCTCATTCAGACTAACCGTTTAAGTATTTCAAAATACTTGGCAATATACGGGTCCTTCATTTCGCCTGCCTCTCAGCTAGTTCTATGTGGTGGTGAACGTGTTACTCCCCGTAAAGGACAATAGCGCGTTCGTTCCCCACCGCATACACCTGCGGTCCGGAGTTTTGCAAATATCTCAGCTCATTGAAGTTATATTTCGCAATATACCCTGCCATTAGAAAGAGTAGGCAGTAAATAAAACGATTGAGACTTGACAGTTACACATTTCAAGAATTGGTTACCAGGTGTTTTCTAAAAATGGCTGTTCGTCCGAATCATAGATATTTGATAGGCATATTTCGTGGATGCGCTGTGAGGCTAAGTTACTTAGTTATCTCAGTTTGTTACATGTTTCTGCAACAAACTGCATTCGATCTGAAGATTAGCATGGGAAAATGTCTGAGAGATAGCCTGCTTCTTTCAGTTCACGTAAAGTGTTTGGAGATCGTCTAAAGGGGTATTTCCATTGAGAAAGGAATTCTGTATAACACAGCATGAAACATACATCGTTATCAAAGAATTCGTTCACATCTATTTCATTCAGAATCGATGGCTCGTTGATGAGAGCGGCCAAGTGCAGTAGACGTCGTGATACTGTGGCGCTGTTGTGGCAATGGAGACAAAGCTCAATGATCTGCGACGGTAGTGATGGTAACTAAAGGAAAAATATTTTGATTCATAACTGACAAGAAAATGACCCTCTCTTTAACGTCTTTGATCACTGCGGCTTATCTTAGCTAAAATCTCTGTTGACGATTATCGCATATTACGAGATAATGAAAAATGATGAAACAACATCGAGTTAGGAGCGGTTAAGAATTAACTGCAATAAACACACGGTTCTTGGTTCGATGCCGCGCTCTGCGCACGCAAGCTCTCCATCTCTCCAGATAGTGGTATTATTAGGGTAGGGGTAAACTGGTGCTAGACATGTCCGTAAGGAAAAAACAATGACATAATACGTGACAGTACAATGGCATCTGTACGCAAATCCGAGTGTAATGTATAGGCCAAAAATGCATCCAATCACCTCAGTGAAGTTTAATAGAGACGTATTCAAGGGACATCTTCAAGGGATAGATCGAAGCTGAACGGTTTTGAAGCAAAGCGGTGACAAATTAGATAAGCTTTGTTTCTTCTCTGTTATTTCACAACAGTCTTTCCATTTATAGGCATATCTACTTCAGTAGTAGAGCCACTAAAGTGTTCAAATCGAAGGCCTGCATATCAACTACTGTGACTAATTCGTGATAAGATACCTCGTCGTTGTCCAGGAATTCAATAAGCTGAATATCGCCGAAAGCGATGGCGAATATTTTCACAATCAATTTCGTAGCTGCATTCACATCATTGATACATGCTGTGTCTAATTGTTCATCAAGCCAAATGATGAATTTTGAATGCTCGAACAGTGCTGAGCGATAAAGCAGAAACGCGTTATACAGTACGGCACACAGCTCACAGCTGTCCTGCAATAGTAACAACTGTTCCACAAACGCTTAAAAATTATGACAAGGTCATTCGCGACCTGGAGGACGATGACAGGAATGCCGTTCTGGACGTAGATGAGAAGTTCCTCGAGAGAAACGACAGAGGCACCTGAAGACATGAGAATAGGAGGAAATTGAAGACAAAAACTTGAACGGACTTTTTAGGTAAATTCGATCTACTGGAAAATTTAAAATTCATGAATATGTCAATGTAAACTTTCCTTATGAAAAACGTTATCGTTTTTAGACATTTAGAAATCCTCTACAGTTAAATAAAAAGGATCAATAGATGAAGTGCAAAACATTCTATTCACTGTTAATAAAATGCTGAAAAACTGAAATTGAAAATACTAAATGCTGGAAAAAACTGGAAATGCTTCTAATCGCTTGAAAATTCTCATTAATCCCTTCTAGAAGAATCTGGTTTCCCGAAGTCTGGGAATAATTTCTCGATCACTGGAGCATTTCGGAAGCTCAGAACCTTATAAGAAATATCAGCAAAACACGGAGCGTTAGTTGGGATATCAAGGTTCGATTAGCCTTTCTGGAGCTCATGTGCCATCCACGACACTAACTGTGGCCTTTGCTTTGCCTTTCTCTGAGTCAGTTTCTTACTATAACAGAGCTATCAACAATCATCCGTCTACGGGAATTATTTCGACAGATGCTTCAGCTTAACGCCGATTTATCCTTTCCAGATTATTCCTGTTGGTTGCTGCTTGCATCGTTAGAGTAAGAAATTGGTGGAAGAAAGGTAAAGCACGGGTTTCGGTTCATGCATTGGATAACATGTGAGCCATGAAGAGCGTAACCGTCTGTTCGATGGCTAGCCGAGGTTCCGGCTTTTGCTCATGTCCTAGTCTCCTTTTGTCTGTAATTTAACATAACGCCCTGCCATGAAAAAATTAGACAGCAAATAAAAGTGATATACCGTAAACCGTAGAAGAGACTTGACTCTACCGCATTAGTCACATACATCACTTTTACAGAGAAGACCTTATTAGGAGAAAATTAAGATGTTTAGAACTGTAGCTCTTACAAAATTGATAAAGAAACTGAAGATTTTAAAATTTCTCATAAAGAAGCGCCAGCTGCAAGTGAGATGATCGTTTTGCACTTAACGCATTTGCTTTCTTCTCAGAAATATGGGCTCTGAAGCAAAAAGTACAAGAAATAGATGTCGTGGGCTCCAGAAAGTCAGGACCTTATCGTAGCAAAATCAGAGAATTTTTGCGCTGCGGTAAAAATTTCTTAGATCGTCCATCGGTTGAAAGATGTTGTTTAAAAGTTGAAACTGAGTATTATTTTCGCATACCACAACTCCTAGACAAAAAATCTTAAAATAAGTTCTATAGTGCTGAGATATTTGTAACACTCCGGACCGCAGGTGTCTGCGGTGGGGAACGTCCTTTCTGGGGAGTAACGCGTTCACCACCACACCATGCCGGTCCTTCATTTCGCCTCTCTCTCAACTAGTTCTATCGATCTTTTGCCATCGCGTTCGTTCCCCACCGCAGACACCTGCGGTCAGAAGTTTTGCAAATATCTCAGCATTATGGGAGTTATATTTCACAACATATCCTGCCGTTAAAAAGAATAGGCAGGAAATAAAAAGGTTAAGATCTTAAAATAATTTCTAGAAAAAAACTCTAGTGGTCACTTATAAAGGAAGTTTATTTGTGACAGATCCTTGATATGGGAACTTGTGGCACGTTAATTACTTTCGCTATGGTATACCGCTTGTTCGTGGTGTACGAGTTTTCAAGGTTGCTGAAAACACAATCTAAAATAGCGCTTATACCCGCTGCAGCTCAACATTTCTATTCGGAAAATTAGCTAAGAGTAAACCTTAAGCACAGTTGTTCAAGTACAAAATCACTAAAATTACTCCTATTTTAGAGGAAATTCAACTGAAATCAGTAGAAATAAATTTCTCTTCAAAATGTTGCGTTAAGCTTAGAGCATGTGTAGCTCAGTGGTTGTAGGTGACTGTAATGCACGGTTTGTAGCGGATTTGAACGCTTCCACAGGTCTAATTAAGCCCTTCATCCCTTTGTAGTTGGCATAGTGGTGCCAGACTTGTCCGCGAGAATAACAGAACGACTTCCTACATTGGCAGGCTTGTGCAAGGCACTGTATAGGATAACTACATATTCATTGGCTACCATAATGCTCAAATGGCGCATCCCTCAGAGTTTTATTAACCTGGATATTTGCATACTTGGATAGTTGGATGACTCGCCCTCACTGATTGTGCGGGTCCTACCATAATTTGCATTCTTCGGAGATTTCCTGGTCTAGCCATTGTGGTTCCCTAGAGTTCCGAGGTCAACTTGGCCAAAGTCTGCTCCAGCTCGTCACCACCGCTGAAAGTCGCCGCCTTTCTGAATCAGAGGGAACATTTGCCAGCATGCGACAAGTTTGGTACCAGGACGGCGAAAGATCCTGGTATTGATTGGTTTACTCTTAGCTGGGCTTCCTGACGGAAACGCCAGACTACTTCTTAGCTTGGGAGACCCTGCCAGAGGATGAATCACCCCGCTGTACATTGCAGCCCAACATCCAAGAACACCTCAGGAGGTGGCAAACCGTTGTGAGAAAGTTTGTTTTGATTAAAAGTACTCAACAATCACTGTTCCAATAGAGAAACGTTTAAATCATGCCAATAGAATAATTTAGTTGGAATGAAACAATATCAGTGTCATATTATTACATGGTTTAGGTCTTTTTAGACGAGGAGCTTTTGAAAAATCAGAAAATTTGAAACTTGCGCCAATAGTTGGTTGAAAAAATAGACAAGAAAAGCAACCAGCGAACACTACTACAGGCAGTGGTTGTTTGTCATTGGATGGTGGTGACAAAAGAATTGGTGGCGCTGTTCCAGATGGTGTCAGACCAGACGTGGTGGCTTCCGACGGCACGCCGATCAGTAATGCTGGAATACAACAGAGTAACGAAACCTCCAGATATTTTAACAGTTATTTACTGCTTATTCTTTTCTCATGGTAGGGTATTATGTAGACTACAACCACGAGGATGCTGAAATATCAGCAAGAGTCAGAACCTCAACAGGGCTTTGAACTCGCGATTATCTCTAACGATGGCTCACGTACTAGCCACCACACCAGCCCAGGCCCTTGCTTCACCTCTCTTTCTGCAAAGTCTCAACTCTCTCGGTTCCACCAGCAATCACTCTTCAACCGAAATGATCTGGGGAGCACAAATCGGCATCGAACGCAGTTAACCTAGAACTGCAATCGAAATCACAATGCTTCAACTATTATTCACTGTGTAATCTTTTTTCATAACAGGCTATTATGTGATATAAAGTGTATAGTAGTAGTATAGAGAGATAGATAGATAGAGTAGATATTAGAGAGTAGAAACGATAGATAAGGTAAAGACATAGCACACAGAAAACCAAAGCCAGGACCTAGGCTGGTGTCGTGGATAGCACGTGAGCCCCTGGAATGGGCAATAGCCGGTTCGAAACTCAAGTGAAGTTCCGAGTTCTGCTCATATTTCACCATCCTTGTGGTTGTGTTTAACGAAATCTTTATTTATTCCAGTTGCATACCTTACTTTAATTTTGGTAGTATTCAGAAGTTTTGCACATGACTAAATCAGGAATTAAATTGTTCTAGGAATTTTAACAGATTTATGTGAAAGCGGTATGGCAGGTCTGGAAACACTCAACGAAGTCAGTCGATACACTAACATAAGCATGTCGGTGATGTTCACCTCCTCGGTTGAAGTAATACATGCTGTACTATCGATTCACATAATTTTACTGTCAAAGCCAATCCATTTATTAACTGGGTTTTCGAGATTTCATGAGAATTAAAGGAGTTCCAAGGATATTGGTTTCATTACTGCAGAAGAAGAAAATCCCAATACTCGTATATTTAGTCTACTTTTCTTTCAATTTGTGAAATACCACCGTAGAGTGAAATTTATCGTCAGCCTTAATTTTTAAAGGTTAGAAGAACAGATGTTGAAGGAAATTATGTGAAAGCCTACAGTAAACGTTTATTTTTCTAAGTCTATGAGAATCCACGTGAACCTCATGATAATCACAGGGCCATTCATGTGAACGTTGTGAAATTCATTGTGCAGTTCACCTGCACCAACTTACTTGGTGTTGAAGTAATTAACTATAACTGACTATAACTTAACTAACTAATCCGCCTCGACTTGTTACACATTCGTCAATGAGTCAACATACTTCTTCAGCAATAATTTTTAGCGATTTTCTATCCCAATCGGGGTATTTTTTATAACAGTAACAGAATAAGTAAGTTAGAATTTCGTGCAATGTATTAGCACGATATTGCGACAGGTAACGATCTAGGACTTGTCATAGCTCACGAAAGAGCTGAATAATTCGCTTTCAGTACTCGTGAACAATCATAAATATTTGTTTATTTCTTGGCCCTCTACTGTTCTTGACGAGAGTAAAGGAGATGTTTCTAAACTCCCCTGGAGGCGGATGAGCAAGGCGAACCACAGCGTTCGCTCTAAATGCGGCTTCTTCTGAAGTTGTACGAATATTTTTTGAAAGGATGAGTAGAGTGTTTAGAGCTGCATCCACCATCGGACGACTTTCTTCTCGAATTGTTACGGCTGTTGTATTTACCACCATGTGCAACACCTCCAAATTGCGTTCTGTCTGAAAATCAACTATCAAACAAATTTTTGGCGAACACCAGCCGGTGACAGCCATAGGGCATGAAAAATTAACGAAATGAGGTGTTCTTCAACAGCGCTTTAACTTTTCTTTACCGCCTACTCTTTCTCCACGGGTGTATGCTGAGATATGAGCAAAATTCGGAACCTCAATTGGACTGTGATGCCATGATTACCTTCCAGGTGCTCACGTGTTATCTACCGCACCAACCGAAAGACCCTCACTTTGCCTTTCTCTTAGCCATATTTGCACCCTTTCGGTTATATCAGCAATATTCCGTAAATAGGAATGATTTGGGAAGCACAAACCTGCATTGAACTCAATTAAGCTGAAATTGCAGTGAAAATCATGCTTCAACTTTTGTTTGTCGCCCAATCTTTTCTCAAGGTAGGATAATGTGAAGGACAGCCACCGGCAGGTGATTGCTCATAGAATCGATAGAGCATAAAACTGGCCGAGAGAAAGGCAAAACAAGGGCAGCGGTTGGTATGGTAGATAGTACGTGAGATCCTGATAAGGGTAGCCTTCCGTTCGAAGCCTAACTGAGGTTCCGACTTTTGTTCACATCTCAGCATCCCTATCGTTATTCTTGAATATTTGGTCACTTTAATGGCTTATTTTGGAGAGGAACCGCGTCAGTCCCAATCCGCTATCACCAACGATTGCGGGACTATGACAGTAGTAAATCGCTTTCGTACTGAGCGATAGAGTATTCACAACGGATAAAGATGGTATGGACGTTTGCGGCAAATTATCAGTATATAGAGCAGGAAATCTGTTAACGATTGATGGAAGTGATCCAAAGGACAGAGGGAATATCCACTAGATCGGTGAACTTGACCTTTCGGAAGAGCTTAGGACGAAATTATTAACGAGAGTACTATTGGAAGGCATGGCAGACCTGTGGCAGTACCGCCCGCAATGTAGTGCTGGCAGTCCGTGCTAAGGGATCGTGATATTCTCCAGATGACACCAACCACAAACCACCACCGGCAACCAACACGCTTAAAGTCGATTGAAATCTTGATAAGTACTGAAATGAAATTCATAGACTACTTAACAATTCTGGTAATAGGAGGCCAATGAATTCTAGCCTGACATTCTCTGACAGTTGGTTTCCGTTCGACACCAGGCTTAGAATTATATTCGGCATGCCTTCGTCTATTTCAACAGCGTGATCTGCTAAACGACAATAAATGTGTTTAGCGGCAATCGGTAACGCCTAGAAGGAGGTCGACTATCATATTTCTAAGTTTAGGACCAAGTCAACACACATGAGCGGCTTCACCTGTGTGCTGCCTAGCGTGAGTGCAGGGCAGATCTGTATACCACCAACACCGCCGACAGTGCCGTCGCTACCACCACCGACTGTTGTGGCAACCGATTCCGGCGATACGCAAAGATCCGTGACGGACATTTCGCTATCGTCCATTTATAAAATCTGTGTAAAGGAATATATCACAGTATACGCAGCATACTATACATATTATACGGCACACGTTGAATGCAGAAGCAGAGACATGAAAGCAACAATATACGAAGAACGAAGCGCGAAAGGTTAATAAATCCACAACTACTATAGATATCAGAACTGAAGACACTGAAAAACTTGGTTCTTGGACGAGTTCATCGCAGGCTGTTCTTTCGCTAATCGTAATGGCGCTGATATTCCTTAAGATACAATCTTAATAATATAATAATTGACACCGGATTCTTAATTCCTCCAGTATTACAACGTTTTCTTGCGGAAATGAAAGAACATTCTTGATGTTCAATCATTGGAATCGAACTGCCCAAACGAGAAGTGCAACGGTATAGAATTTAATTTACTCCACTCTAACAAAAATATCGATCGTTATTTGCTGTTACTAGGAGCCGAAGCAATGGAAATACTTTTATTCAGGGCACTAATGGAATGAAGATGTGTAATGAGATACGGTAGTTGTGTTCTATCCATTATCAGTTCATTTAAAAATTGGTTTTAACACGAACATTGACTTAATGTTAACGTAGGAAAAAACTAACTAACCCAAAAATTAAAAAACCACGGGGAAGATACGTGTTTAGCTGAAGCGTTGGTAAAACCCTATACATGACAGAGAAACAGTAGTATGTATAGCGCTTTAGGTATAGATGCCTTCCGCCATACATTTCGTCGTTGCATCATTCTCACACTCTAGCAGAACAAAGCCATTTATCTTTCTAGAGCACGTAAATTGGTAGCAGACTTATCTGAGAAAAGGTAACCACTTACTTTTCTGGAGAAACTGAGGAGAGATATCCGTTGGCCCATGCAAGTGAGTGTATCACCTGTCTCCCGTTGATTGTCGAGGAACTCGAGTAAGCGCCAGTAGGCCTTCCATTTACAGCCGACGCGTGTTGGAATAGTCCAGGGGCTTCTGCTTGCTCTCGGAGCTCGTTGAGCATCATATCTTTCTTACAGGGTTCGTGATTAGAATTATGACCGTCAGGTCGGTGGTCCTTCTGCAGTATGTTTGGCATCCTAACAAATCCACTAACTAACGGCTCATGTACATCGGTTGTCGTTCCTACGCATTACGTGTCCGGTTCCACCTTATCTTCGACTGTTTGGTGTACAGAACTACAGAACAGCATCTTTGATTTTTGATCGCTGACGCAGGTCGGAGCTTCGGATCTGTTCCCTTATTTGAGCGACACGGGATACTTCTAGCATAGTCCTCTTGACTGCGCGTTTAATAACACTGATTGACCTTTCATCCTGCTTACGCAGCGACCACGTTTCTAGCGCATGCGTTAAGGCAAGAAGAATCGTGGAGTCAAAAAAGTGGGCACGGAGTCGGATGTTCTTTGTTCTCTTCACCGCATCCTCGATGCTCTTGAAAGCTCCCCAAGCCGTCCGTTTCATTCTGCTCAGCTCTGGAGCTACGTCGTTCATCACATTGATTTCTCGACCTAGATAGAAATAACTGGAGCATTCGGAGATATTCGTTCCGTTGAGCGTGAATGGGGCATGCGAAACCAATCCGTTCTTCATGAACACCGTTTTTGTGAGATTTAGTCGAAGACCAATCTTTCCACAGGCTTTATTAAAGTCGGTAAGCATTCGTTCTACCTGGCTAATGTTTGGTGTTATAAGGATGATGTCATCAGCACGTTCGCTCGATGGCTTGGACGCTCGCTTGAACGGTAGCATTTCATTTAAACGATCCATCTATCATCTTTCAGGCAAAAACTTTTAACGATTTCCTCAAAGGTTTCTTTTCGTTTTTCTTTAAAAGACAGGCTATCATTTAGGATTTTCGGATTAGCTTTTTTACACCAAAATTGTCATAAGGAGAGGGGATTTATTTCCTTTACAGTGACTTTCTGTTACTTCTTTCGTTTTAACCTTTGCGGAAATTAAAACTTAACATGGATTCTCTTCATATTTTGAAAAAGTATTGCGTAACAAATTGGTGACCATATGAGTCATATATGACTCATTTTCTACCCAGTGCGTGTACAGCTTTCTTCAGTACTTTTCTTTTTCGTACTCATTAAATCTCCTATCCAGTATAAATGTCGCCTCAGGTATCGACAGAGAAAGGCTTCATTGCGCATTTAGAAATATGCCAATAGCCGTTCTCGGACCATTTGTCTGCTTCATTTGAATTCTGTGGCAGCTTGTTGCTGCCAATGAGGAGGCACAGATGGTGAGAGTATCACATATGTGGCGAGTTCTAAATACATAGCGTCATGAATGACTTCTGTAGCGGTTAGTTGCCTTTCGCAGCAACAGAGAAGCACTGCGGTTCATGAGGCGGGCATGTTTAACTCCTACGTGGGTTTGATCGTGACGACCCACATTAGGTGACCTCCGAAGAATTAGACTCCGTAATCAGTGTGTTAAATAGCGCCATCTATAGAAAAAGTGCCATATTTTACCGATAAATTGTTGGTTTTCGAAGAATCTACAGGACATATTAACAACAGGATATTGACGTTTGTTTTCTAAATATGGTTTCACAAGATTAGGGGAGTAGTATATCTGAATTTATCAAAAACATCACACCAAGACCAAGAGTAAACTCTTTAATTCGGACCATCTACAGCTATTTTTATAAGTGTCATTAGTCCCTTGCCATAAACAAGCAAAGTTTTTGTGACTTAGAATTGGACTACTACAACGGCTTCCAACTTAGAAGTGAAGTGAGCTGAGCCGAGTTCATTGCGTGATTTCCTCCGAATGTCGTCACTCCTTCGAATACACCCACGCAGAGTTTCCGGCCAATGTGAAGTGCAAATGTCAGAAAGAATATGTCAATGAACTTCTACATGCAATTCGAAAACATGGAACCAAATTCCTTAAAGACTGATTTCCTTTAAACCTTGGCAACAATAACCAGTAATTTTGCAAATGACTGAGCTGACACGTTTCCAACGGATTTGACTCGATGCGACTACGGCCAGCTATGGATCATCGTCTCGTACCAATGCAGCTCTGAAGAAGGCGAAGGCGCAGAAGCGTTAACCGAATAAATGTTTTTCATGCCAATGTCGTGTCTGCCCAGTCATTTAAAAAATTGCAGAACCAGATTATTGTTAGTTTTTTTCTTCTCTCTTCGACATCTCTACCGCATTTTCGCATATTTTCATATTCTTAGGTCCCTTGTGATCCATTAGAAAATAACAAGATTAGAGAAAAAAATGAATTGAGAGAGAACGATGAATCACCGGAGAGATATGCGAGTGAATACATTCGAAATAAATAATGAAATAAGCTGGTAAAAACATTTCTTATTGAAATTAACGTGGCAAAATCGGTGAATAGCGAACGATTTAGGAATGGCGAGATGGTTTTCAGTGGAAACTTCAGTGGGAACTACTTATATACTTCGATGGTCCGTCTTTAGAAATTGTATGGACTCCAAGTGCCTTCTATTCTTTCGTTCCAATCGTGATCGTCACCAAGGGGAAGGGGGTTCTCAGTTTCGATCATGGTAACTTCCACCACTGTCATTTTGTGACCCATGAATCGCTTCCAAGAGGTGAATACAGCTGAGTGATGCGATCCACAATTACTAGTGGGATTCCAATTTTCATAGGGTTCACTCTATCTTCCTTCACGTCCTTCTGTCAACAACACTATGATCTTGAAGGTGGCATTTTGCTCAGTGCTCCGATATGCATTGTCCTGTCTTGGTGTTTATACGTGCCGATTATATTTACTTCATAAGACGGCGCTCGTCTGTTAATGATAATTAAACATGGAAATATGATTTAAAAAAGGAACGCATTTTTTAACCTTACGAAATGTTGCTGAGTGTCCAACAATGTGCCGTGAAGAGGTGTGCTGTGTGCTCGGTCCCCCTTTGACAAGCAACCTAATACTGCTAAAGATTTGTCCGTAGATGTTTATTTACATAGTGGCTTATATGCATTAAGAAAGTTGATGCAAAACGGTTTGACTCTTCATCATTGGAAAAAGATTTCTGACGCCTTCGGACTATAAAGCACAGCATTACACTCATCTTGGAAAGGTCGGCTAAACTGACGAGTTCGTCGTTTATATCTCGAAACCCAGTTAAAATAAACTAATACCATTGGTTGCCGCACGCTCACCTGGCTACTCCGTCGCGAATAAAAAACGTAATAACAACAAAAATAATAAATAATGAAACGCGATTTGAAAACGAAGGCCCTTTCCTCAAAAACGTGAGGTGCTTTGTTTACGTCAACATACGGTAAAAGTCATTGGATAGTAAGCAACGGCAGTACGAAAGGACTGAAATAGAAAAATTTGAATTCTTTCAGGTTCACAATTCAAAACGGCGGTACTACGATGATACCTGATCAGAGCAGTCCACAATATACATGGTATTTACAACTACACATACTGCAACTGTAGCAATGTCTCCCACTTATAATGGAAAGTCAACGTAGTAAGAAATATTAGCACATTAGTTTTGGAGACACTATATTCTTGGCATTTCGCTCTTGATTCTCAATAGACGTTGTTCTCCAATTCGTTGAAAATGTACTGACACCGAGACTGAGGCTGCCTAGCAATAAGAGATCGAAAGTCGTTAAAAATGAACTGAATTCTGAAAAAATCAACAAGATTTTTTTTTATCTTTCCGTAAAAAGCTATTTGATTGTCTAGACGAGCATTAGCATAATTCAAGTCACACTTGCTGGATTCATTCCATGGTATCCAGATGAAACCGATTCACTTCTTATAATTGCTGTTGCCGCAGGCATTGTCTAGCCAATACACCTCGAAGAGAGCTCCCTTGAATTGCGGGAAGATTTTGTCAATACTCAGAGAGTATGTGATAGTGTTTTTTCAATGATGCTGATATATTTGCAAAACGTCGGACCGCAGGTGTCTGCGGTGGAGGACGAACGCACTTTTACCCTTTCCGAGGATATGTTGCCATCAGCAGTCGCCTGTCAGGCCGATAGAGCTAG